ACCTTCCTTTCCCAGCACTGAGATGAGATTCTAGGAAGGAACATGTTCGCCATCCGGAACCTGCCTTCCCTCCATCATCTAATGTCGGTAGCTGCACACCTAGTGACGTGATGGGGATTGAACATCACCATGCGCTCCGCTGAAGGCAGCTTGTTCAGCATCTTTCATCGTCCGGTTTCTCACATGAGATTGAGGCTTTCTTCTTGATGTATCACGCTGCATACAGAGCAACCTTTACGTACTTTGATACCAGCCATTGGACGACGTGGTGCCGTTCTTGCTATCCCGTCTGATCCTGCTGACCTGGGATCTCATCTCTGTTAGTACCATGATTACTCCCTCTCGATCATCGCATCTGTTTGCGGCTCAGTTCCTGCAGCAACGTGCACTTTGCCCCCTCTCTCCCTTTCCTCACGCATCTTCCTGCTTCGTTTTTTTCTCGTTCGTCATTCGCTAGCGTCCGGGGCAACTTTGTCGCTGGTGCATCCAACCAACCTTTCCTGACTGACAGCAACAACAGTAACAATCACAACAACAATAGCAGCCCGTACTGAACAGGCCGAGCCCGGTCAATTTGACGAGCGGCTTTCACTCGTCACCGACCCCCTGCCCAAGCCATCGAACACGAAAGCTATCGAGGCCAGCGGGTGGCCCAACAAAGAGGAAAACCGTATACGCGGCGTCCCGCCAGACCTCGTGTGCAACAGTGCAAATCCCCCGAGTCTTCTTACTCGATCCGGACACAAGGTTTTGGTCTTCCCAGCAGGGCGGCCCAGGAAGGGAAAGCGAACGGTAGCACCCTACGGATACACGTACAAAGCGCACAAAGAAGGCCTCGTCCCACCGCATTCAACGACCACACCCCCAAAGAAACAATCACAAGAAGCTTTAGGTAAAAATAGCTTCGCGGCGCCTCCCTTCCCCAGTTGCGCCCCGTCCCACGCATCATCTCATCCACAGTCCACACCATACCCATTCCATTCCAGTGGTCCACTGCAGCCCGAGGTCGCGGCAAATCCACCCGCTTTCGGTTCATCCTCCCACCTGTCCGCCGCGCTTGCCCGCCTCGTCCCTCGCAGCCGGACCTAGCACAGCCACCTTTGCACCCTCCTTGGAATTCGAGAAAGGGAAGCAAAGAGAAGGAGAAAAGTTCGCCATCTCCAACCGGCCCGTTCAGATCTCGCCATTTGGCAACGTGCTCTCACCAGCTGACGGCTAGCTAGGCCCTTCCGAGAGGCCGAGACAGGACAACGCACATCTCACCAGTCTACGAGCCTAGTCTGCCGGTCCACGCAATTTTTTTTATGTCGATCTAGAAAATACATCTTTGCGACTTGTTCTAGCGCCGATCCCGGCATTCTTGGGATTTCCGAGCCGTCCCTTTCGTCCTACAGTACGGATATTCTGGGCCCATTTTCGCTCCCTAATAATGCTCCCCGCCGCGGCGGTCAACTCTACTGCCCGTCATCTCGTCCTACCTACGTATTTAGAACGAATCTTGCCAGCAGCTGACGTCTGATGCTCATACTAGGGAAGCCAACGAGTCGTGCCTCAAAAAAGTACCACAACGCGGCATGGCGTGTTGGCCGCATTTGATGAGGCTCCGGGCATGAGCCACCAAATCTGACTTGACATCCGATCACTTCATATCCAAATCTTTCAATGCGGCGCCGCATTTCTGGATCCTCATCTCCCTCCGCAAAAGTGGATGGGAACAAGGGGTGACCCTTTTCATTTTTCACACTCAAAAGGGGGACTCCTGTTTTTTCAGGGACCGCGTTGTGATGCTGGCAGTGGAACCCGGAACCTTTCCAATCTTGGATCAACGTTGCAGTGCCATCCCCACACTCCGGCGCGACTCGGCCAACGTCGTCCCCGCCGTCGGAGCTCGGGTCCTGCGAGAAAGAGGCAGAATGCTACCATAACAACCGGCCGCGCTGACGACTCCGGTTGCGTCGTCTTCGCAGGGCTGAGCCGCTTCGCACGGTCTGGCTCTCGCCATGTTTACAATAGACCTCGACAGATTTTTCTTTTCGTCGTCTCGCTGAGTCACTTTCTGAGATTATTCAGAGTACGTTGCACTGGCATGCCGTCGAGGAAAACTTGCGCAATCTTCTGCTGCAGTCAAGAGGTCCGTCCGGTCGAGGCCGTGCTTGCTCCGGTGGGGATGCCGCCCCTCCGTTGAAGCTTTTCGGCACCGAGACTTGTCTTATACGGTCTGGAGACATGCCCGACTCGGCTGATGGCGATTGATAGCTAGCCGCGTCAGTCAATCCCCGTAGACTCCAGCCCGCTTGCGGCTCAGGACACACGGGAAGCCATCGTTAGAGTTCCTATCCAAGTGGGTATCAAGCTTGGCGAGGTTGGCCAGGTTTACGTTCCGCGGCTTAGCACTACAAACGGCCCACGGGGTTGCGAAACCTAGAGAGGCTTAAGCATGACGTGACAAGCCTTGACCCCAGCGTAGTCCGCTTCATGACTTTTGTAACAAGGTGAATTATTGCCGGAGTCTCATAGACTCACCTCTTAGGGTGGGCGGGCGAGGCGTACTCAACGTGGGCTGTATCTTGAGTCAAGGGACATTCACTGACGCCAATTGCAAAGTCGTACACTTTCTCTTTCACGACCTAATCCATACCAATGCTACCTTGAAGCTCAAGCAAGGCTTTCTTGAAAAACCTCTTTCTCTAGAGACAGTCCGTGAGTGTTACAGGGCTGCTGACCACGTAGCGGGATCGGTGTTGAACACCAGCGGCATGAATACGGGCTTCCTGTTACACGGTCTATGAAGTAGCCCTGTGGTTCATGTCTGTGAGGGGACATGAATAGAATCTTAGCCTCTATCATGGAGACATGACTGAGGTGTTTTCTTCGAAATATGGTGTACGTGAATCGCACCAAGGCTCGTCGCCTCTCGGGCGAGTGGTGACGAACCAGGGGTACTCTTCCAACAATATCCAGTATGGCCTGAGTCAAACGACTTTTTGGGTTTCCGAGATAAGTCTTGGCAGTATGTCATTATAGTTGCCACGGCCCTTGGTTTTTACACTGCGAGGAGTACTGCAAGAGTGGTTGTAAAGAATGTCAGGGCTAGTTCGTCCTCGATGGATATCAGCCAAGCAGAGCCTCATACACACATCTGATTGAAAAAAGGTATCTTGATTGTCACTTGCACACAGCCTTGGACGGAATCGATGGCGTCTTCTGTCTGTGCTCGAGCACATGTAGTAGAAGGTCACATCTACTCTGATGGACACGGTCTCTCGGGGGTCTCTGTAGTTTAACATCTCATATCTGAGGAAGTTCACAACCGTAGGGAAGTGCTCGAAGCCGGTACGCGGACTCGTCAATGTAAATGCTTTGGGCATATAGGAAGATTGACCCGTGATTCCTTCGGCCTTTAGTTTAACAATGGATAGATATCTTTTTACATATTTATACATTTGTCTAGCGTGATCATTTGACAAGAAGCTACCGGAGGAGCTCAATTCAGCCCAGTTCCACTTCAAAGTGAGATTGAATTTGGCCTCAGACAGTCTCAGGTCCTCGGTCAATTTATACCGCAATCCGGTGCCGAATTGCCCGGCCCCGGGCGTGGGCAATTGTGAATACTAGTGCCCTCCACGTCCCACGCTGCGGTTACTTTCAGACCGCCTATTCTGAACGGAATATACAGGAATCAGTCAAGCCTAGTAGCTCGGGGCGAGACGTAGACTGTGTTGACGTTTGTAAGGGACATGATGTGGCTCAATGAAAACTCCCTTTCTCTGCTAAGGGCATTGAAGCGTTTGATGACAGCGTTGAAGAAGCGAGTCACGAGGCTGCGTTGAGGGGCAACTCGATTCAGCGACGGTGGGCCGGCTTTATATACCTACTACTGGCAGGTAGCGAGACGGCGTGGTTTTAGGCTGGTCAAGCTACAGAACGAGTGCCATGACCACGTACTCAAGTATATATAGCAAATGATTAGGCCACCTATATAGAACCGATCATGTCTATCTAAGAGACTAGAGGTTTGGACAAGTAGCCCAATCTGTCAATCATGTCTCGATGCATTCCTCTCTCGTCTTCCAGCTCTCTTCAGAGTACACCTGGAAGCACTTTTCGCACTCGCCACAGTTACCGCATCCCTTGAGCTGCCACTGACCATCAAACACATTAAACTCTCGCGCGCTGAATCCGGTGCCGGTCCCGGAACCATCAACTGGGGAGTCTAAAGACGAAGACTTCAGCGCGGCCGCGTCCCCCGGGACAGCAGGGAGCCCGATGTCTGTGTCGTTGTGTATCCTCTTCCTGGTCCCGCTAGCCGTACAATTAACATCGACCCCGCGCTTCTCACCTAAGGCTATGAGGCGCTGGAAGTAGAGGTTGTTAGGCGGCTTATGCTTGGAGCACCGCGCCCGCTGGCATCGTTCTCGTCGGACAACATCATCCTCAATAAAGATTGCCTTCAATCTAGGGAACCTGTCCGACTTGAGGAAGCCGATGAGGAGACTCTCCGTCATCTCCGGATCGCTCTGCTCTGTCGAGTTACCTAAGAAGAGAACCTCCATCGTCGCGGGGAGGCGGGAGATAATCCGCTCTAGCGCTGCTTCGGCGGGAGTCTTCCATAACTCTGGCACCGTGTGCATATCGTAGTCGACCGCCTGCTTAATAAGGTCGGCGTTGTCGAGCCAGACATGCCGGAGGTGTGGGAAGGTGTGGAGTTCGAGCAAATGGAGTTGATACAGCGTACAGCCGGTTCCGCGCGTAGTTCGCATCCCCCACGCCCCGTGAATCATGAAGCTTTCAAGAGAGTCGGCATGGGCATTGCGGGCACTGAGCAGGAACTTGTCGATTTCGTCCCAGTCACTCTGATTGCGCCTGACGTTGCCGCGGAGGTGGAGGGACTTAAGGGAGCGAGGGGCGTTGAGGAGGGCCACGCGGAACTCTGCGTTCAGAAATTCTGCCCCGTCGATGAAGAGGTGTTGTACGCTTGAGCAGCCGCGCGACAGGCCGCGGGCCGAGTCTTCGGTGCGATCATGATCGTATAGGCCGTGGATGTAGACCGTATCGATGCTGGGGAGCTTGAGGATAGTTGCGAGATCGGGTGGATGATGGACTCCGTATCCACAGTCTAGCCAAGTTCCGGAGCGCACTCCGATGGAGACCTCACGAAGAGCGCGTAACCCTGGTGCCCAGGATCCGAGAGACTTACTCTTTTCGATGAGCGAAGCGAGCTATACGAGGCTTTCATCTCTGAACCAAATGTGTTAGAATATAGATTATATGTGCAGATCGTAGGTTCAATCTCACCTGTTGCCCGCGTCGCACAAAACGTACTTCACACTGTTTAATCGAGGGCATATAGCCGTGAGTAGAACCTTAAGGATGCCATCTTTGCCTTCGTCGAGTTGTTGTTTGGCCATACACGTATCGTAGTGGTCCGGATGGAACATGTCCTCGAAAAGACGCATGTATTCCGCCCGTTCCTCGTCTTCAAACAGCCACTCCAACGGCAGCGCATCTTCATCAAAACGTTCTCGCGGCTGGAGCATGAACGGCCGCCAGTCTTCCCAAAATCTTCGGCGACCCCATATCTCTAGTGAGCGTATGTGACATGTGATCAACGGATCCCGGTGCGTGACAATATTGCGCAACAACGTGGGCATAGTTGCCGGCTGGAGGTCCGAGACGACGCCATACTGATTATGGGCTTTTCGGTGACGGCGAAGAATGCCTGCTGAACACTTGGCAATTTTCTTGCAAGTACAGGCAAGGTTCAGGTGGGAAGCGACGTCTACATGCTCGATGATGTCTACGAGGAGCTCTGCTGGCAGGAGAGTGAGACGGTCTGCTTCCTCGGCTTTTTGGTGGTCCGTCGCCATGGCGGCTAGAGAACAAGGCTCAAGTTGCGTAGGTTAAATAAGAAAGGAAAAAAGACACAAATATTTCTGTCAATATATAGGGGGATGTGAAGACTTCGCTGAAGACTTGTACGGTCTATGCGATGAGACTAAGGGTGAACTATTAGGCATGGCCTCACCTGCTGCCTATGACTGCCCGTTGCTTTCTTGGCAGGACAGTAGAACGCAACGTTGCAGGCAGGAATCCTCTGTATCTTGGTAGTTGCCTCCGAGTACCTATCCCGAGGATGGGAGCGAGTTGTTCAGGGGCGATGGGCATTTCACTTTAGCAGAGGGCCTCGCATCAAGGCATCTTGAGTCGGCGAGCATGGCTACAGATGTCGGGCAACAATTAGTGACCAGCGGCTTTCGACTTTGTTGGGCGATACAAGATACTGTGAGGTCCTGAGTCAGTATATTAAATTCACCAACCAGAATCGCGAGAGTCGAAGCAGGCAACTCAGATGTTTGCCAGCCTGCTATTGATTTAGGTCCTTCGTGATAAGTAGGGGGCATCAGCTCCGCAGGATATCGAGGGTTGTTGTTCGTATTAGGCATGTTTCTTCTGTCTCGGGTTACATCCGTAGATGTGCCTGATCAGCCGGTGGGAGGAACTAGCTAGAGAAGTCTCGTTGAATTGCTCGTCAGAATGTCTAAAGAAAGGGACCCTTGATTATCACCATTGTTGGTGGTGAGTCCCATCACGTGACACAATCCAGATCAAGTACACACAGACCAACAAAGGCGGGGCAGTGACTTCCAGTGGTCCAAGCTCAAGCAAGGGACAGACAGTTCGTCACTCGCTGGGAGCAACGCGGATACCCGTGCTCCCGAAACATAACCTCGATCATGATACCATACATTGGGCGACAGGCTGCTGACGACAATCCGATTACACGATACCAAGACTTCAGAGCCATGTAGCAGATTGCCGTCCATTAACTCTGCACAAATAACCTCGCTCCCTGCCCGACCGCCGATATGGAGCGGGCCCCCTCTGGGGCCAAGTCCCTGTTCCCTCAAGGGCCCAGCTTCACCCTCGAGGACTTCTCGAACCAGGACTTTGTGGTCCGCGAATTCGTCGATACTCTTGCCGAGAATGCCGTACCTGCAAACCGTCGATCAGGTCCATCGCAACCCGCCTTTGACCCCAAGCCACTCATTCGCACCTTTGAGAGTATGGCAGCTTCGTCCCCTTCATCGTCTCGTGCCTTCCTTACTAATCCCCCCCTACAGATGCGCTGTCGCAGCTTGGATCGTTGTCCGAGGAACTCCAGGAGAAGGAATCGGAACTCCAATCCAACGTACGAAGGGCCGAGGCCCAGCATGACCAAACACTCGATACCCTCGGCCGAAAGCTCGACCAGTCCATGGCCTCCTTCGAGGCACTCGACCTATCATTAAATCAATCCGCGACGAATGGCGACAGAAATGCGAGACAAGAAGCAGGTGGTAATATTGCCGTGCAAATTGGTGAGAAGCTGGAGGAGCTGGACAGAAAACGGAGGCGAGCCCAGGATGCCAACTTTCTCATCCAGTGCTGGATCGAGGTTAGCGAGACGGGCCAGCTCACGTCGCTAGAGGAGATCCAGAGGCAGGGAGGAGCAGAGAACAAGGTCCGATGCGCAGTCATTTCCCGCCAGCTCATGCGCATCAGTCAGCGGCTAGACCCGACCTCGTGGGGTCAGACGAATGGAACAAACGGATTCCGAGGAAACGGTGTTACGAACGGCGTCACAGGAGCGAATCGCGTGCACAACACGAGAGAACTGCTTGAGAAGTTCTCTGAATCCTTGGAACAAGAGCTCCTCAAGCAGTTCAACAGCAGCTACCGACGTCAAAACTTTGACGACATGATGGAGTGCTCCAAGGTGCTATACGACTTCAACGGTGGCTCCAGTGTCATTGCCACCTTTGTCAACCAGCACCAGTTCTTCATCGACAGGGATCAATTGATTTCCGATGAAGTCATGTTGGACGGCGACACATGGGACCAGATTGCAGACCCTGATTCCGATCCACCGGGCGTCGAAGCCAGCCTGCAATCCCTTGTTGACGAGGTCAAACTTGTCATGCAGGAGGAGTCCTTCATCATCAAGCGCGCTTTCCCCTTTTACGAAACCGTTTTGATCAAATTCATTCAGCGAGTGTTCCAGCAGTCCGTCCAACAGAGGCTCGAGATGGTGCTCGACAAGGCCAATGAAATTTCTTCTCTGGCGTTCCTCAGATCGCTGCACTCGTCGAGGACATACATCAGTTCCTTGATCGAAGACCTCAAATCCCACGGCCTTACCGAACATCCGGAGCCGGCTTCTCCCCAGATCTCCCAGACACTGGACCAGCAGATGGAGGAACTCTTCGTCCCCTACCTTGTTGGTAACTCGTACATCGACCGAGAGAGAAAGAGTCTCGAGGAAACGTATAACTCGTTGCTCTTCAAGTTCACAACATACCACTCCAAGAGGAAGAAGGCACCTACCGGCTTCATGGCCTCACTCGCACAACAAAGTTCACAGATGCTGTCATCGGCCAAGGATGCATACCTCGAGCGTCTCGACTCCTCTGAGTTGACAGCCACCCAAAAGGCTATGATGCTTCGTGTTGCAGGAGTTCAAGATAACAACGATAACAAGAACGACGTGGAGGTGTCAGAAGAAGACGGTATGCTGAGCATCGCCAACGCCAAGAGAATGATGAAGTGGCTCGCGGAATCCGTCCGGCGAACCCTCGAACTCGGCTCCCCCACCGATACGCCAAAGGACGTCAACGTTCTCCTCAACCTTTTACTCACAACAATGGGCCGCGTCTACGTGGAAACGGCCCTGGACGCCGCCCTCGACCAGGCGACTTCTCAGGAGAATATCAAGTCGGAGCCCGACTTGAGTTACCTCCCTTCGATCCGTCCCGCGGTGACCATTACTAGCATCATGGAACGCTTCATTACCACCGTGCTTATCAAGTTGGCCGAATCCAACACTACAGTCCGCCGCAGCATGTCCACGCAGACAAAGTCTGCCATTGACGGCATTGAGCGCAAGACCAACGCCGTTATGCGCAGCTCCATCGATGTTGTCACCAACTGGGTCACGCGCTCTCTCTCTAGTCAGAAGAAGTTTGACTTCCGTCCTCGCGACGCCGACCTGGACTCCCTTCAGACGCCTACGTGCTTGCAAATGAGCCAGTTCCTCTCCCGCGTCTCCAAGCACGCCGCTCAAGCCGTGGACGGCCAGAACTTGGAGGTCTGGAGCTCCGAGGTTGCGCTGGCTGTCCTGGCTCTACTCTTTGACCACTTCAAAAAGTTCCAGGTCAACGCGACGGGCGGACTTATGGTCGCGCAGGATCTGTCCAAGTACTCGTCCACCCTCAAGGAGTGGTCACTCGCGCCGGACATAGAGACCTCGGCCGAGCTCCTCACCGATATTGGCTCCCTCTTCATTGTCGGACCTGAGGCGCTGAGGGAAAAGTCTCGCACGCTTGCGGCGGGCCCCTCTGGCCAGGGCAAGAAACTTACCAAGGCCGACTTCAAGGCCTTTGTGCAGCGGCGCGATGATGCCAATAGTGTTGGTATCCAGAGTGTGCTGGCCGGGTTTTGAGAAGCATGGGAGTGGTCAAGGTTTGGGAAAAGGGGTATTAACGGGGGACGTTTGTGGGTTGACGCATGTACTGTCTTATTAATGATCGAATATGATACCAGGTTTCATTGTGCATAAGTACTATCGAACGACTGTGGTTGCCTTCATTATCGCCGGTCCGAGGTTACAAACCTAGAGACTCGGGAAGGGGGGCGCAAGAGTCGCCGACTCTGGAAAAGAAAGCGAGAAGGAAAGCCTCACAAGCGCGCGCGCCATGACAACCTGTCCGATCTTGCGGAGATTCCCGTACGGATAAGTCCCAGCTAACGAAAATGACAAATAATTCTCCGTTTGTTAGCTTGGGACCAGGAAGAGCCTAAAGGCATCTTAAGTTGAGCTAAGTGGTCACAAGTGTTGGATTTTGGCAGCCTTTTTTTTTTTTTTTTTCCCTCTTTCGTTCGGTGACCAATATGCTGCCATCAGACCAGAGTCTAGCGTCGTCTCGAGACTTGGACGGCGTCGTCGCACTTGCGCTTTAAACTTTGCGCGCCCACCTCACGGACAGGAGTCTACGGCCGTAAGCGCCAACGGTGTGGCGTCTTTTTGGTCGTTTGGTTTGCAACGGTCTTTGCGACGACGGATTTTGAAGAAAATTGTGGTTTGGTGCCTGGCTATTTGGAGTGATGATGGTTTCTTCAAGGATGTCGCAGGGGGCTTGAGGTATGTTCCGGGGTGAGAGTCAGAGGAACTTTGCATCTCAAAGAAAGAAACTACGGAGTATCGGGGTTCAATATCCTAGAGAAACTCATGGTGGTTCCAGAAATGTAGTCATTATGTGAGCACATGTAAGAATCGGGGTTTCTTCCTGCAGAGTGCTTGTGGCCTTTTCTGGCGGGCTCACGAGGCTTCCCCGGCCCGAGGCTAGGTGGCCGATATCCCGGGCCAGAGTTCGTTTCAGGGGAAGAAGAAGATCTTTGGACCCCGACGACGTCAAGTAGACCCTCACTACCTTGCGTTTAGTTGTCCCTACTCTGGAAGTCGTTCATAGCCCCGTGATGCAATCGCCCGTAGGGATTGACTAATTTCTAAGCGTCGACAACCCTTGAACTTCTCTTATGAGTTGATGGTATTCTCTTGCGTCTTCATGGTGAAGCCGATTCCCATAGTCTGGGATTAAATTTTCATAGCTTATCCTCCATTCACCTTGGCTACTATGCTGATATTTGCCCAATACAGGCCTTGCGTGGCCGTCAGCACGCTCTTCCCGGCACTTGAAGCCCGGAACCCATCGGCGATCGACCTATGCAGGGGTTGACGGGCAGCTAGTGGTTGGAGGAGTGCTTTGATGACCTTCACAGGTGTGTATGGGAATTGGGAATGCCGTTTCCCTGAAAGTCGATGGTTACTCTGAGATCAGACCTAGTCGTCTACGTACATCTGAAAGTGGCTGCCTGACTGGTGCAACCTCAATGCTTCGAGTTTGCCATTGCCCCGTCAGAGGCTTGGTGTCTCCAGTTCCCACGTTGAAGGTATCGCTATTTCTACTGCTAAATCACCATGCCGTAGGTTATGACTGCGCTGGGTGCATTGTCGGCAGTCTCGCTATGTAGCGATGCGGTTCTAGTGAAAGTTTGATTTATAGTGCTCTGGTTCAAGAGTTTGAGAATCTACTTGAACTATCTGAGGCTCTGGTTTGGGAAGCGAAGAATCTGCTTCAGAGTCCTGAGAATCTGGTTTAGGATCCTGAGAATTTGGGTTGAAAACATCAGAGAGGATGTAAAAGAGCCGTTTCGGGGCGTGGACGAAGTGATTAGCTTAGTTGTAGGGGGCTGTTTCAGGGTATGGGAAAGCTAAAGATTTGCCTGGCTAGTCATTCGATAAGTGTCGAACTCAGTTGGGGGAGATCTTTAAAGGGGCTAGCGGAGGGTTGGGCAGGCCTTACTTGAGCAGGCCTTACTTGAGCAGGAACCCATGTATGACCTGGTGAAAGCTCTGTATCCATGTATGATGTGAGATACCTCCTCTCGCTGCGGATGAAGCATGTGAAACATGTTGAAAAAGTGGCTGAGCGAGAACGAAGCCTGGTTCGAGAGTGTTTGAACCGAGGCGGGATGCTAGGAGTCAAGAGAAGCAGCTGCCTTTCCGGCCATTGGGTGAGCGGTCATCGGAGCATTTCCACATATAAAACGTTCAGTATCACGAGAGGTACATTCGGCAATGCTAATACCCGACATGATATCGCGAATATGTGCTGCGGGTATATAATATCAAAGGAGTAGCGGGGTTGTAAAAGCCCGGCTTGTGCGGATAGATGGAGGTGTACTACGTATTTTCCAGCTGCCCATGCAATTACAGCGTTGGCTGACTTCCATAACGACAAGAAACAACTGTAAACTAAGGTGCCTAAGAAGTCAACTTTCGTAGGCCCGTGGTGCGGAAGCCTTGACTGTTTAGCTCAAAGTCTTCTTCCTTCCCGTCGTTGAGGGGGAACGAATGAAGCCAAACATCCCACAGGCCTTACCCAGGGACTCGGGACCATGTGTAACACCCAGAACATGTTCGAGAGACACAGTCTCGGCATTTTTGCGAAGAGAAAAGAGCTTCGGGATGGAACAAGATCCTTGCTGTCGCTCAGCAGACCCATTTAGCGGAGCAGTGGCCCCTAAGGAAGATCCTTCACTGTTTCCTTCTCATTTGGCTTCACTGACAAGATTAGTCCTGGGACAGGCCGGGTATGGCATTTCCAATTCTTCTCGCCTCCAGTCAAGGGTAATCACAGGGCACGGCCAGCGATGGGAAGTACGCAGTGAATAGGCTCATCGTGCCGACAAATGCCACGAGTATGACAGGCGACAATACAGGGGTAGCAACGCACACGTCCAGTTCTAATGATGTCTATGCAGAAGAAACCGCTATTGCTTCTCCTGGGTATTGGATGGTTCAGTTCGAACCCCTCATCTTGGCCGCCACGGGTGGTGGCGGAACCCAGGCACACAGCAGAGCACTTCAGGGGTATGCCTCCAGCGCCCGTCCTGAGATACCACGAGGGACGAGCATCGCGACTGCTTCCTTTCTTGGTACCCCAAGGAGAGGAACAGGTTTTCCGTCATACTACGCTAGTATTGTCGCTCTGCCCGATGCGTTGGATTGAACTTGCGGCGTGATTGGCATCCTTCGCGGGGAATGCAGACCAATATAGCTGCGTTCCTTGGTGCCAGTGGCATCCTCCACATCCCGACGACTCAGTGAGGGCCGATTCTGACAGAGACAAATAACCGTATGGAAGCAATTATCCAAGAAAAGAGACATGTTTCGGCAAAGGGACTCGAGTATGGCAAACGCCCTGCACCATTGGTGTACCACGCGCCTTGGCGAGCGAACCTAGACGGCAGAGATCTTTGCCGCGAATGGTGACGGAGGAGAGGCACGTTATATGTAGGAATCCTTCTACGAAGACATATCCGTAAACAGCTATCCGATGAAACCTCCGTCAAGAGCAAATGCCGCGGTTCGTGGCGACCTGAACGTGGCAGCTGAGCGACCCCCACAGAGCTTTCTTGGGCCTTGTTCCTCTCCCCCTCGGTCAAGATGGTTTTGGTCTAGCCCTCGACCACCCTTGAACGCTATTACAACACTCTCGAGCTTCTCCAGGGACCTTACGGCCGAAACAATGACTATGATCTCCGGGGCCAGACTACAGACGCCGCGCTACGATACCAAAGATGTCACGTCGGCGCCCGCCCACCAACCTGATCTGATGTCTCTGGCCTGCAGGACGCAGTCTGACGGTGAGCACGTAGTGAGACCAGGAAAACGTGTCCCATCTTCGTGGGCGGGAGAGCACACCGAAGACCCTCCGAGATCTCCCCCGGGCCTACGTGGAGCTCACATCTCATATTCACAATTGGGGCTTCGACCAGGTCTTCCCGATCCGTCAACCTCTGCGTCACCGACTCGGCTCTTCTGCACCCCTTGTAAGTTTATACTTCAATTCAGACATTCATCTCGCCTTGGCACGCGAGATAAGCAACAGGCATTTGTCCACTTTCCAAGGGGGGCCAAAGGCGGAATCCCGTATGTCTTCGAGCTTGGACGCCCAAGTCCCCATATCGAAGCGAATTCGGTATAGCAAAGTGGCGCCCACCCCTTACTCAACTATCCAAATAGAAACATAAATGTCACGACGGAGCGTTAGAGTCAAAACGTCGACCGCTGTTTAAGGTTTCGACTAGTTTCTCGATCGTGACATTTCTGATACAGAATAACAAAGACAGTCGATCACGTCGTTTCCCCCTCCCCAAACTTGAGCTAACGGGCCGCGCCGAAACCACCGCCCTGGCGGGATGAAGAACTCGAACCGGTGCAAAGCCCTGGGATTGCTTTTCCTTCCGTTCCAACGGGTGTGGCTTGCCATTTTCAGAGGAACCGCGTCTCGCGGATCTGGCCTCGTCCGAACGCCTCGCGCCCCTGTGTTCCTTTCGTCAATCCCAATCTCGATCCAGGCCCCCCTTAAGAGGTCACCCCACACAACCGATCACCCAATTTGGCCACTTTTCGAGACTTCGCATTCTGGACTTCATGGCGGCGAATTGGTCTTTTAGTGGCACAGCGCTGCTAAAGCTGAAATTCTGAACACATGCTGGTAAAAGAAGCTTCTAATATATCTAATATTACCGTTAATTCTATGATTTTCCGTATAGAGCGTACTGCGACCTCCTTCTTTGTCCTTATAATAGTCTTAATTTATATAAATCATTTATTTAGATCTTACTTAACGTTTACTTATGGTACTGGCTTATATAATCTAACTTAAGCTTCTAATGCCTTTATAACCCCTTAAGTATGAGCTAGGGCAAAGTTTTGGGCATCTAATCGCTTACTAACCTTATTAAATATAAGTTATTATATTACGGGGTCGTAATCGTCTCTCTCTTTACGGCTATTTTAGAGTTACTGATATCTTCTAAGGTCTCTCGACTTTTTAAAACTTAAAATATTTCCTAAAATTCTAAAACTTATACCTAATTAGTACCCTAAAACTAGTACTCTATAATATAAGAAATATATATTAATATTTTAATGAGTATAAGGGCTACATATGTTTCATAAATATATCTAGACTCAGTAATTTTCTTTAATTTTAATGATATATTTATAATTTATAAATACAGGTATCATAGAAGTTACGTGCTTAAGACGTTACATGGTAATAAGAGGCTCAACTGAAGTACGTATCTATTGAGATACAACGCTTTGTACGCACGTACAGCCCGAACGTAAATACGCTTTACACATACATGTTAAAGCGCCGACAGGCACATATGCCTGTATAAACTTAATAATAAATGCTCAAACTTAAGTATCACATGTAATTACATGTGATTACATATAATTACATATAATATTTATATATTATATATAGACTACACTTTCCCACCATATCATAAAATAATTATCAATACAATTGATTCTCTAATTATCCAAACTCGTACCTCAACTTATTTATCTTTTTTCTTTTTGCCTACCTCTAACCTTTTAGTTTAAATATAATAATATAGTGTTCTTAAGGTATCTTAGAAATCTCTAGAAGTAGTGGCTCTTATAGGGGGGCCCATAGGACGTCTATAGCTACTAAAATAACTAGCAACAGGTTCTCAAGTGGCTTACTTATATCCACGGGCTATAATCCTGCTACCCTCTATCTAGAGTATATATTCCGACTTATTAAAGCTTCTTCCCGTGCCTGAAAGTAATAGCAGAGGAAGTTCTGCTTTTCTATAAGTGCTGAATTAATTTAGAGGCCGTACTTGCTGATAAGCTTGTGGTAGGTGTTCTTGAGCGGCGAGAAGATAGATATATCTAGGGGCTAAGTAATGCGGCTAGAATAGGCTAGTAGATAATACAGCTAAATGTCCTGAGAGTAATATTACTACGTAAAGTCGTTAGAAATATGACTTCCGTGGCCGTCGATAATCAAGAGCCGCTTGGAGCGTAGTCTCTTGGCCTCTTCTACTATACCAGGTATAAAGACCTTCTGCAGCCATTCCACGCCAATTGAATTCGAGGTCCACTTATTGGCCAACGATGTGAAGCTCTAGGAGGCATAATCCGTCAATTCCTCAGAGAACCACTAGTACTAGACCGTCTCCCCCTTAAGAATCACTAATAATGGAAGGTTGTCACGGGCTGGAGCCCGGCTGAGATCTCCGGCCTTACCGGAGCCGCACGCTGCTGGAAGCTGCCCGACCGCGACCTGTAATAACCGATTATTACATTGGATTATTACATTCGGTTATGTTGCAGGCCGGAGCCGGTCGAGATGTCCAGCTTTGCCAGAGCCACCATTCTGCCGCATTACACCGCCTAGTCCGGGCACGTTATACTATAGCTATACGCGCATCCTTGTAATTCCTTTTTTTTCCTCTTCAGCTTAGAATAGTCAATCGACGGCACCTCTACGTTGAACAAGCCTAGGGGCCAGCCCCTTATAAAGGTGACGGCCACTAGCAGAAATATACTCGAGTATTATAGTCTAAATACAATCCCCTGGGTTCTAGACATAGATCGTTTACTTCTTGGACTTACCCGGTACTAAATAATCCTTACTAGTCTCTTTTATTAAACCCGTTCGTCTATATTCTTGCAGAAGAATATTAAGGCCTTTTAAAAGGCTTATAAAGACTCAACGGTAACCGACTTAACGCGCTTAGAGTCCGTTAACCGTGCCCTAAGCGTCTTTAGCAAGGGATTTCTATATAGGAAGCCCTCAAGCCACTTCCTGCCTAGTAGGCGGTTATCGCTACCTCTACGTCGTAAAGTCTCGTACTTGAGTATAGGTTAGGGCGAGTCCTAATTCTCTTTAGATAACTGCCTATCGTACCAGAGAGGTCTCCTGGTACTTGCTTAACCTCTAATAGTCTTCTTTTAACTTCCGCCGCGTAGTTACGCTATTAATACGGCCCGAGAGCATTATATAGAGGATTCCCTAGTCGGTAAAGGCCTTCCGGATCGACTTACCCTCGCGGATATCATTGACCGCGTTTTTCACTTATTCTTCCGTATAATTAACTATAGTGAATCTATTGGTAATTTCAATATAATATTTGCGATTTTTTTGATTGATTTTGACGTACCTAGTGAAAGTGGTGGTGGTGGTGTTGAAGGAGGAAAAAAAGTGGCCAAATTGGGTGATCGATTGTGTGGGGTGACCTCTTGTTGAAGTGCGGAAGTGGAATTGGGCGGGTATGCTCGGACCAGAACGAGCAATCTGGACCCATAATAATATGGGTGAGACCAACCAATGAAAATGCAGGAATCCAGGTGCCTCAGATAAGGGATATACTCCTGGCTGCATCTGGAAAGGAGAGAACACAACATAGACAACAATACGATTACGATTATCTACAACACCTCTTATCCCACCGACAGCTGTTGTTTGGTACAAGACATACCTACAGCAATGACTCGAACCTCTCACCGAACTTCCTATTCCAAGCCGGCCCAGTGTTATCTCAATGGAACATCAAATGACGCTCAGCGGCCTTCTCAGCGGGTCACTGCCGACTTCGTCATTACGTAGGCGGCGAGGTACAAACTGCACGTTTATACCAGGGTGCTTAACGTCGTTACCGGTACGAATATATGGCATATGTCTCGTCTCTTGATCCCCCACAACTTGCCACGTCGTACAATGTCACAACAACGAAAGGATAGCTTGTATGTCCCACTTAGGCTTGCAGGCTCGCGGCGCAGCGGGCATGGGAATAAGCGCCCGAACGGGAACGTAGCAGTGACGATCTGCTTTCTTTTTGGGCAAAATGCCCAGGAATGGCAACGGCAGAAGGAGTCGGCGTTGACGTCTTCGAAACCTAACTCTCATTGTCAAAGGCTGCCGACTCTAGCATGGGCTTAACTCAACAACGGCATTCCCTGTGTCGGCGACTGGGTTCACTCACTAGTCTGCCACCCCTGGGTCTTTCCCATGCCCTCATACGATCCTTCTTTCCCACCCTATTCATTCAAACGCGGGACACATATCCCGCGACTGGCCGAATCTTTTCGATAGTCTTACCTCAAACCCCGGTTGCTGGTGAAGCCTACCTTAGTCTTACCTTAGTCTGATTCTGTATCCGTAGTCGCGTAAACGTTGTCCCTTCGGATATGTAACTATTAGTGATAGTGAGTCTGTTTGACCGGATTTCTTGATCCGGACCTCGTCTCGCGGTCTCCCTGGCAGACCTCGACCGGCCAATGCTCATCCCAAGAGCCATGCCGACGGCATCTCCCAACGTCTCATAGTTGCCCCTCAAGCTACAATCTCGATCCTAGTTTGACTCAGAAGCGATATCATGTTTTGCGCAGTAGGGAGTTCTCAACTGTGATGGAATCCACTCGTTCCACTGGAATCTTGCCCTTTGTATCGACCAGCAGCCTCAACCGCCGACAGCCAATTCAACTCCTCACCGCACTCAATCACGACGCTCACAAAGTCCCTAGTGATAAGTGGTCAAGGTGTGCAAAAACGGGGTAAGCTGGCTTATACCCGGTCTTGGCCCGTCGGGCCACGTTGGCTGTATCCGTACCATGTCGACTTGGCCTTGGAAGGCGTGGCGGATATTCCGGACAATTTCCCCGTGGGATTGTAGATACGCACGTCTGATAACTTGCATACTCAGATCTTCGATCCATGTGGGCGAAATGTGCATCACGGTAGGTATATCAAGGAAGGCACTGTATCGTTGCCAGCCTGTGAACTTGATGACAAGCAGTGGAGGCCGCCGGGTTTGGACATAGCGTACTCCGTACTATAAAACCATCACGCGAACATGATTCGAGGACACATTCCCATGGTGAAAGTTTGGCTAGGCCCCTTGGGTACAGTAAGGTCAGTAAATATATGAACTCGAGGCTACTAAGGGAGTAAAGCATGAAAGCGCCCAAAACCAATTCAAGTTGCGGTGTATGTCATTCCGCTCGCTCTGACCAGCTTCACTCTTGCATTATCATACGATTCGTAACCGCTTTGCGTTGGGCGGTCATCGTCCTGCAACCTTTGGTCTGATCCTGCAAGTCATTTTCGACGAGGGCTGCATGAGGCGCTCCTTAACTCAGATAGCCAACGCTGTCGTCAGCCAACCACGTTGGAACAGTGCCTCACTGGGATAGCCAAGACTGCCGGTCTACCCAGTCATCCTTCATCATCAAAACGAGAGGATCCTTGCAGACTCCAGTTATAAATAAGAAAGGAATTTTCGGCCCTCGTGGTCAGATGGTTGGAGTCGACATTCCTCGAACCACACCTTTGCCAACCATTTCCAGCTGCGTTTCAAACACAACCAACGAACCAAACAGCAACTCACGAGCGCCATTGCGAGAACGATCGCAAGAAAGGCAATCATCAAGCGAGGACGGCTGCCCTTACCGTCCCCCAGGACAGCCTGACTGGCTGGGTTGCCGACCAAGGTTGCCAGACTGACCACAGCATAGCAGCAGCCGATGTATGTGCCACTGTCTTGCGGGTCGCAGAGTCGTCCGAGACATGTAGCAGCCGTCGACACAAAGCTACCGGTACCGAATCCAAGACAAAAGGCGACGGCATAGAGCGCAGGTGCGGACGTGTCTCCGAACGCTAGCCACAACACAAGCATGGCCGCCTCTGTGAATATGGTCATGGTTATGGTCACATTGAAAGGGCCTATTTTATCGGTGAAATGTCCAGGAACAATCCTGCCGAAGGAAGACCCCCTGAGAAAGCATAAGCTGAAGAACAAGCGCCGGCCCTGAGATCCCACGGCGATCAAGGGGGTGAACTTACACACTGAAGACAAGGGTCAAGTAGAAAACATCGCCGAGCTTGACTATTCTGGCATACGTGGGCAGCAGACCCCACGCTACGAACAGCACCAACTCGAAGCCTGTCATCACATTGCATTAGGGCTACTGATACTTGATGAAGTTGGTGTGGTACAACTGCCATACCACAGACGCTGAAGGTGAAGAGGACAAACTTCCAACGCCTGAAGCAGGCAAAGTCCCATATCTTTCCTTTGCAAGCCTTGAGTACTCTGGGCCTCGTCAAGGCGCACCCGAGGGATAAAAAGGCGCAAATTATGGCAAAATGGATGAGGCTTGCCGTCGTCCACTCGAAGTTCTTGGTGGTGAACCGAAGCACCACTGAGAAGATCACGCCACCCAGTCCTACACCCATGGTGCAAATGCCCATGGCCAGTCCCTTCTTGTCGTCGAACCAATGATTAATAACGGCTAGCGCAATGGTGGTCAAAGCCGCTACGTCCGTAACGTTAGGATACTTCTTGACAGTTACGCTTTACCCGAGATGGACAAGGAACCTACCGGCACCTATACCGGCAGCGCAGAAGCATTCCATGAGTTGCCAGTATTGGCTGCTGAAGGCGACGCCTAGGAAGGCCGCGCTGTACACAATTGTTGCGGGGGTCACGAGCCATCGGGGCCCGAACGTGTCGAACAGGATGCCAAAGGGGCCGCAAAGTAGAACAAATAGAAACCCAAAGATGGATATAATCCAAGATATGTGTCCGTGTTAGACCACGGAGGCAGCTGGTTATCCTTCCAATACACCTGAAAGATGCCCACGGTCGTCATTAAGCCGAACGTCGGGATCATGAACGCCGTTGATCCTACAAGAACAGACCAAGCCCTCCATCCACGGTCTACAGGCTCTCTTGAGAGCACCTTGACCTGATCGTTAGAGGCATGATGTACCCTCGAAGGCTGCTGAGTCTGGGGCAACGTCGGGCGGCGGGTTATGCCAGCGGGGCTGGTGCAAGTAACGGGTCGTAACGGCGGCAGTCTGCACAGATGAACGTCAGTCAGGTCAGTCAGGTCCGCTAGAAGAAGCAAGGAAGAGAGCTGAGGGGTCCATGAACATGCCCTATGCCTGTTTTATGGCGGAGTGACGGCATGCCACACGCCCTAGAGCGAGTGGTTTCCTCGACATCCATATTTGGACTGGCCGCAACCTGAGACACTGATGCTGTACGCTGATCGAGCTGACTTTGTCTAGACATGTCTACGGCTGTGGTAGGTACTTGATAAAAGCTGGTGATTCTTTTTTTTGGGTTTCTTCAGAAAGAGACGACAACAGTAGACACCAGTCTGGCACAAGCTTCACCAAGATCGGAGCAAGGACGGCGGGCTTCTTTAACACTATACTCAGCCTTAGCCATTTCTTTCTTTGTAAGCTGTAAACCAACATGGCTACGGGCAGTTCCCGGACGCTTTCCCCTTGATTCACTCAGACCAAGGGTGGGACTACAAATTTACTGTTGGTCCTAAGTCCGGCAACTCCAAGGCCAGATCAGCGGACAGCCCAGGCAAGGGCCCACACCCGGTCAAAATGAACCTTTGTTGTAGTTCAGAAGTATCACGGGAGACTTAGCCTTGACTCGTTGGTAGAGGCTGTAGGTTTCTCCCGCGCAGCGCAACTGGGCTCAATCTGTTAGACAAAGGCCAATATCATAGCCTGGTGTACTTGACCAGGACATTGGTCTCGAGCGCATGATATCCGGAAGTCGGTGTGCAACAACAGCAGCTCAGCCGGCCTTGCATTGTCTTGGGTTTGTGGAGAGTTTCTAGGGTCCCAACCGCTGGCTCTCGAGGGATTTTTCTCGGAGTTGAGATGCTAGAACAAAGAACGAGTATGCGTGACCAGACACCCGGTAGCTAATAGGAAGTCAGCGTTTGACGATGAGGGAGAGTGGACTAAGCTAGGATATATGCAAATGCAGCTCGATTTGGATATTGCTCAGATGAATGCTTGTATAAGCGTGATTTCATCGGCATATTACTTGCACGAGACGTGGCAACAGTGCAAGGTTGTGGTGGTACCTTTGGCCTCAAGCGCCGCGGGGAAGTGTAGGTAGTAAGGGGTTGCCGCCGTCGTGCCTCGAGCTACTGTGATAGAACGCACAGCTCGACTGCCACCCTGCGTAGCAACTTCCTAGTCATCGGAATAAAAGTCGTTAGTAAAAGGTACTCCGAAGTATTGTGAAGCAGAGAAAGGTTACACAGGACGAGGTTGTGTTGCGCTTTCCGAGAAGTCATAGCAAACAGTCCACTTACTCCTGGGTACAGTACCTACCTTCCGTGTCGCCTTTAGATGTCTAAACAGGAAGCTCATCAAGAGAAGGAGGGCATGGCTGTGCTTTCCCGTTGAGCTGGTAAATACTCGTTCCGTTGAAGGAAAGTTCTCCGTGTAACCTGTTTGCTAAAGGCCGATCTTGGTGTTTGCCTTCCGTCCCCTGCCACATTGTTGGTTGTTCACCAACGGTTATGGATGGAAGTAGGTCGAAACGCCCTTCGTCCTTTCCAAGCTTGCCATATGTCGAGACAAGTCCTTGCAGGAGTGAAATATGGCAACACCTCCACTACCCTCCCCCTCTTCCATCCCAACCTGCATCGGGATATCTCTCTCAGAGATTCCTTATCTGATGATTACAACACCCTTTTTTCTGTCAGTTCTGACTCGTTGCATCGATCTTCCACCAACGCGCCTTTCAACAATCTTCCGTGTTGACAAGAGGCACACGACGAAACGCTGGCGGTGATAACCCGCATATTGGCCACGCCTAGGTCATTTCCACCGTCCTGTAACGGGTTTCTGTCAGGCCCGGCCGAAGGTTTCCACAACGCCCACGAAACGGCGACCATTTTCTGTAGCGTTGGCTGCTCAAAGAACCCCAAAGGCTAGGAGATCTTTGAGATGATAATGTTATCGCCCAGTATGCCGGTTCGAGCTGCGGCTCGTTTTATCCGAGCAACACAGTATGGCCAAGGAACTCGCTGGATTGCCACTACATCATGTTTGCAGGCAGCTCAAGCCGCTGCTGCTGAAACGGTGGTCGAAGAACCAACGTACCACGATCATGTTGCAGCCATGTCAACATCAATTCGAGGCAGACGGGACGAGTTCTGGCGCAAGATCCCATGGTGGCAAGACGTATCCACAGACGACTTCCTGAGCTATCGTTGGAGCGTAAGTTGACAGGCTGTTCCATCATCAATTGATTTTGCTGTTGCATTCTGACACCACCCCCGTGTGCAGAATAGAAACATGGTCGAAAGACTTCCGAAGCTGCGAGGCTTCCTTGATGCGACCTTGCCCGAGTACATCCCTGTCCGTGGTTCCAGTAGTGAGATGGGGCCTCGCAATGAGCTTGTCAACGACGTCCTAGCAGGAATCAAGAAGGCAACCATGTCTGTTCGGCTTACGTGGGTTAAATACTAGTCGACATCTGGTGAAGGTGTTAATTCGAGTTGCCGCAGCCCGTACGTTCTCAGCCGTATCGATTGGACTGACCCTCGTAACGATCCCATCTTTCGCCAGTTCATCCCGACACAGTCGACAATGTTACCCGATCATCCGCGACTGACGCTTGATTCTTTGCACGAAGAAGCCGATTCTCCAGTCCCCGGGCTGGTTCATCGGTACCCAGACAAGGCTCTATTTCTCCGTAAGCTTGAACAACAGACATAAGCCAAGAACGGTCCCCTTTGATGTATTGGCTAACATCGTTTCCCGAAGCCGTGTCCGTCTGTCCGACATATTGCATGTTCTGCACGCGCTCCTACGCGGTAGGCGCCAACACCGAGACGGTCGACAAGCACTCTTTCAAGCCCATCCTTGCCAGATGGGAGAAGGTGTTCCAGTACATCGAGAATACACCGGATTTGCAGGACATTGTAGTCTCTGGAGGCGACTCGTACTACTTGGCGCCTCACCAAATCGAACTAATTGGCGACAGGCTGATCTCGATGCCCAACATACGCCGCTTCCGGTTTGCCTCAAAGGGACTCGCCGTCTGCCCAACTCGGATTCTTGATCCCAACGATGCTTGGGTAGATGCCCTTGTCGCCGTGTCCAACAAGGCGAAGAGGGCTGGCAAGGCGGTGGCGCTTCACACCCACTTCAACCACCCCAATGAGATCTCCTGGGTCAGTGAAGAGGCCAGCCAGAAGCTCTTCGAAGCCGGGGTCATGGTACGGAACCAGACCGTGTTACTCCGCGGGATCAACGATGATGTCGGCACCATGTCGACACTAATTCGCAAGTTGGCGAATAACAACATCCTCCCAGTACGGTAACCCCTCCTCAAGATTTCTGTTGTGCAGCACTGACTGAACCAGTACTATGTCTATCAGTGTGACATGGTCAAGATGGTGGAGCACTTGCGAACGCCTTTGCAAACGATTCTCAACTTGGAGTCTAGAATCAGGGGGTCGATTGCTGGTTTTGTGATGCCGCAGTTTGTAGTGGACCTCCCTGGAGGTGGTGGCAAGCGGTTGGCAAGCACCCATAGATCGTACGACCGCAAGACGGGTATATCGACGTATTTGGCACCTGCAGTGACGGGCCGTGACAAGGAAAACAAGGTGTATGAGTACTACGATCCCGTCGACTCTCTTCCCGAGGGCCAACCAACCGATGTTCAGGACGCGGCGTTCCGACACACTGGTTGAGTCCGGTCTAGATTCTGCGAGTCGGCTCAACTTAACTTCCGAGGACCTGAACATGCCGGCCACTTAAGGCGACTGCCGGCCTATCAGCTTGGAAACGATATCTTATTCCATTGGGAGGGGGGAATTTCTTCTTGCGTTGCATACACGGGTTACGGATGAGGGGCCCTTGCAGCGACCTGGCGAGACTTGAGGCGTTCCCTTCCTTGTCCATGATACGTATCAAACCCCGGCGTCAGGCCCAACAACCATTCTGGTCTTGAACTGCATGGCTTGGTAATTGCCGTCGTTGGTTGTAGTTACAATGAAGCCGGCGATTGGTTGCAGACCGCGTGTGGGCTTATGTAAGGCCAGTGTGGTCACCGTGTGTGACGAGAGCTGGGTTTGACGGTTGAGCAGTACTATGGCGACTATGGAGAGATGGAAAGTTTCCCTGATGGGAGAGGTTTGAACTATCTCATACGTCTATATATAAAGAGGAGAGTGCCCAGAGCTGATCTGATAGTCTCACGTTGTGAAACCTCGATATCGTTCCATGCGGACGTTTTGCTCCTGTGTAGAAGGGAACGGCCCGGTGCGATGACAACTGTATCATGCGCTCTTCCAGCATGGCATGAGGTGAGCCGGACACAGTGTCTGGAGAGAGAGAAGGAGAGGAGGCGAGAGGGAGGGAAAGATGTATGTTTGCTTGTCAAGGGTCTCACACACCCTCAGTGACAGTCGAAGCTGTTGTTTGGCGGCTGGAGGCTGCCAAGGTAAGATTTGCCAATGGGACGTTTGGCATATGCTGTTGGTTTGTTCATCGCTACGATGGGTAATCGGTGTGATGAAAGAGGGGTAAGGTGTTGCGACTTCATATCAAATGGCTAGAAGAGCAGAAAAAATGGCACGGCAGGTGGGATGGGATATAATCTCTCTTTTGTCTAGAGCTGTTGCCAAAGGAAGGGAACAACTCGAGAGGGAGCAAAAGTCATATTGGAGGAACAGCACTACGTAGCTATTACGGTTTGCTGCGATGTTCACACGTCTCGAGAACTTCCGAAGCATCTCGAAGAATGAGACTGTCTCTCATAGCAGGAACCTTTGCCATGTTTGCTGCCTGCATGTACGGATAGCCAACAAAACAATCTGTTGGCATATCACCCCCTCTCCGGCTGCATTCTTACCGCTCGAGAGCAGCCCACACGGTGACAGACCGAGAGACATACAGAGACAACGTCAACGAATGACGTGCAGCTCTTCCATCCTACTGGGCCTGGAATCGGATTTCAAAGTGAACGGAGTAATGCAATTTCGTTGGTCGACCGGGGTTTGTCTTGCAGATAACAACGTCTGGTCGTGGCGCGTGTGACTGCCCGTAGCCCACTCCCGAAGTCGCAATCGTGAAGGAGGGAACCGCGAAATGAGATTTCTCTCGGGACTTTTCTCACTCACCTGACGTTATTTCCGTCTTCTCGTTTCCCAGAAGCTTGGTTTTCGTGGTTCGCCAGCGGTACTCCGTACCAAAAAAAGATTTGTTCCCATGTCTGGTGTAACATTCCCGGACGCTATGGGAAAGGCGGAGGTTATGGCTGAGATGAGGTTAAGATTGGCTTTTCTCCGTCTTCACTCATTGGTTTTTGTTTGTTTTTTTTTGAAATTTTTTTTGTTATATCTTCTTAGCGACGTTGCATTGGCATAGTTCTGGAAGCTCGCGCTTTGTTCATAATGGCGATGGGTAATGGGGAGGCCATTGCACAAAGTACTATGCTCGTGGAATGGGAATTGCACGACACACGCCATCAATCTGGGACTTGAGCTCTGTGCGAGGGCCACAAACGTATTTCTTTGCCGTTTTGCCGATGGTAGCGCTACGTTAGATCCTTATCAGTTTCTGGACTCTCTCTCTCTCTCTCTCTCTCTGGCTGCAGCAATTTAGGCGGAACTCGGCCGTTGAGCGAAATGGACCAGTCGCATGCATCTCGGGAGACGAAGAAGGCAATGTCGGCGCGTGGCGGCGAGCTAAGAAGGAGGCGGGAAGCAGAAAAGATTCCGACCATTTTATTGGAGAGTGGCTTGACAATGGGGTGGGATTGCAAGCCACAACAAGACTTGACTCGGTTTCCTCGATAACTTCCCCCCCTTTCCAATTTGCATTTCTATCCATCTCGAAGGATGGATCAGCGGGCACTTTTTGACATCAATATTCCGAATCCACAGGAAAGGGAACCCCAATTGCCCTTTTTGGCCGAATGATGCCTCTTTTAGGAACGGAGAGAAGCTTATCTCAATACAAAAGGCTGAAGCTGCGCTCAAGCCCTCGTACGACCAACAATACAATAACTCGCTATTGATTGCTTTCTTTTTGCGAGCAGACGGGAGGGTATTCGTACAGACGACAGAGATGAGTGCGAGTCAAGCGCTCATTACCTTCGTGTACGGAGTACATCTCGACGCGGTATGTCAAGGGACCTTGTGGGCGGGCAACACTCGCTCAAGACGGGTTCTCACTCTTACGAACTCACGGAACGAACTTCGACAGGACAGCCCGTGAGAAACGAGGGTCGGCGGTGAAGATTGCTCCCCGTCGCGCAAATCCTTTTTTTTTTTTTGTCAGAGTCGCGAAACGTGCCGCATGCGCGTAACAGGTGTGAAGAAGCAAAGAAACACGTCTGCAGGCGGGCACGCAGGGAAGAAGCCGTGTAGAAGAAGCATCTTGCCGGGCTTCGAGAAGCCCGGCGGCACAGACACGTCACACCCAAACATCAAGGAACACTCTTCCCTCGACCATCCTAGGCCAGTGAAGTAGGATATCAATCAAGTTGTGCCGAAGACCCTGCTTGAAGGACCCTGCTTGACAGCGAGGGCATGTTTGCTTGTTTTCGGGCTTCATCGACAAGCGAGGGCATGCGGTGAGGCCCTGCCCTCGGGCATTCCGTCGGTGCGGGAGACCCAAAGTTGGAGAAAATAGCGGAACGGGTGGGCAACGAGGGGGAAGGGGAATCGATTTCCAATCGATCAGAACTTCAGAGGAGTTGACATGATCGTTAGAGTGGGTTTCCTGGAAGATGCCGAACCTGCGGTGTGGACATTGCGAATCTTTGTCAGTTCTTCGGTCGTTGGATCAACAGTTTGATGAACAGATAGGCTTCGACCACGAAAGCGGTCAAGCGTTTCGTCGCCAGGTTCCAGACTCGCCTCTCGTTTCCCCTTCACGCTAAGGCTTTCTGCAGGGGCGAAGGGAGGCCAGCCATGGATAGATGAGGCTTTGGTCGTCGATGACCTACGGATAACCTAGTAATCCAATCATTGACAATTAGATGCTGAAACGGAGACCCAGGGCGCGAACAGGTCCCACGATTCTCTGGGGGTTTAGCGCTGTGGAGGAGGAAGAACAAGAAGAGAGCTGGGATGAGGATAGGAAGGGGCCCCATCGGGTCTTTCGGCTCTCTTGCGCGCGGAAACATGGGCGAGGAATAGAGCGATGGGGGGGGGTTGGTGTTTCTAGATCACGGTGAAGGCGACAACGTGTTTGTCAAAGGATGGACCCGAGAGACGACATATGGAGAAACGTAGTATACTGTACGGATACTCGTACGGGGCAATGGCTGCAACAGAAAGGGCAGGAAAAGGCTTCCAGAAACGGGAAGAAAAAGGAGATAAATTGCCAGTGGACAGGGAGACGTTGACTCGTTCTCGGCCGGAGGGTCTCCGCCAAATCTTCACAACCCGAGTCGTGCGTGGCCTTTGTGAACCCCAGGGCCAGGTTGTAAATTGGTGTTTCAACGAAAGGGAAACCAGCTGGAGAGCTGGCGTGAGAAATCCTCCAAATTTAGCTCTCGACGACCCTGGATCTCCTCTGCTCATCTTGGAATGCTAGGAAGGCATAGGGTTTTGCACCGATGACGATGATGTGTAAAGATTGGCGATACTCGAGATAAGTCTGTCTCCAGAGAGCTGGAAAACGAGGGGATGCTCGCAGCTGCATAAAAGCTAATCACGGGCCTCCACTGTTTCGGGAATCGGCGTCGTAGCAGACGTGGAGTTTTCGTCGTCTCCCTGATCGGATGTGCTTTTTCAAAGGGTTCGCGGCCAATTTGCATACCAGTGGGCTCCAGCAACTTTATGCTATCCCATTTGGTATATTCCCACTTTCACCTTATGCGTGGGGCTTTCAACGGTTCGTCCGGTTTGCTTCTGGCCGTGTCCCTTTTGGGACGAGCCAAAGCCATAAGATCTGCGATATAGTTATCCTATTTCGTCCCAAGAAGCCCCACGAGTCAATACTCAACGGCGGGACGAAGGCCACAATTTAAAAAAAAAAAAAAAAAAAAAAAAAAAGGACCAAGAAAGAAGGGTCGATTCATGAGCCAGAATGGAGGCGTTCAGTTGACGGGAAAAGTGGAATCGGGGATCGCACAGGCGGAAGAGCCAAGCGACTCACGGATGGGGTTGCACCGGCAATGAAACTATCGTAGGAATAGAGCCTGTCGAGGGTCCCGTATGATTGCTTGTTCAAGGGCCCAAGGGGTGCAGCCGGCAAGGCTGGCGTCGTCATGACCGCTCTCGAGTCTCTGCCATCGTTGCTGGAATGCCGAATTCCGTCGGACGGTGAAAATAGGGGCGCACATCCTTTGTTGCAACTTGCAAGTTTTGTATCCCTCCAGACTCCAGTTCTCTGTGGCTCCTGAGCCCATCCCCTCGTGGAGTCGTGCCAGGTTCCATTGCGTCCGTATTTCCCGGAGGTACCCTCCCCATGGAGTAGGGTTGCTTTCTTGCTTCCCCCTTGGGCCCCTTCTCCATGGACCTCGTCATATCACTCCATATCATGCGGGCTCTATAACAGCAACGCGCAATGCCTACTCGCACAGTCGCGTCGAGCATGAATTCTGTAAGCGCTCACAGCTGACAATCACACTATGTGATAACACCTTTAAAGCAATCTACCTCACCGGCCGCCGTTGGACGTTGCTGACGGGAAAAGGCAAGCGTCTGAAAGCTGACTATGATACTTGTGACGAGACACGGCAAGGGGGGCACAGCCATTCAACGGCTCGTAGTGTGGGGGGCCGCGATAGTCGAGAGAGAGAGAAGGCTAGAATCAAGCAGCCACGCAGCCTTGTTGGACTGAACGCCGCGAGGGTGCCTTCTGCTGACGGTTCATCTCGGACTCTTGAGAACTTGCCTTCGTAGGTCCGTAGGCTCATGCAGTGCGGCTGGTCTGGGCTTTCTCCCTAAGCCCTCATCTTCACTAGCTCGAGTGTTCAACGTCGCGCAAGGCTTGCCTCGAATAAATTGCAGGCTCTCTGCTGTGTGTTTTTTTTTTTCTTTCTTTCTTTCTCCGGTTTCGTAATCTCACGACAGGGAAAGAGATGCGAGAGTGGAAGAAGGGAAAAAAGCAAAACTTTCTGTGTTCCCCGAACTAGTCGCAAAAGGGCTGGGCCTCTGAGTCTGAAGTTCATTTGCTGATCAGTGCTCCGGCTCCCGCTACGCAAACCAAGGTTGTCCCCCCCGCGACGTCGGTGAAACCGTGAAGCAAAAATAACGATGCTTTTCTCTTAATTCATGTTTCTTCGCTGTCCCGTGGAGCTACACCTCGGGTATTCATGCTTGTAGGGCTCTGTTGACTGACTAAACGACCATGTCCAATGATCGCCCGTCAGCAGGGGAAACAACAGGGCCGCCGATGGTGGCATTATCCTATCCCATTCTCGAGACTCCCGACACTTGCTGTGTAACTTTTCAGAGAGTCTACCGTGTTGCCAGGGTTGCAATTCGCCCCTACCGAAGAAAAGAAGTGCCCGGGATGAACGCGAGAGCAAACCATCCGGACTTGACGTCGCGGAATAGATAGATAGAGAAGGGTTGGCTGGACTCCGCGACACGGCATTGGGGCTGAACATGGGACGATGTGCGATTCGGGGCCGGATGATGATGATGTTCAGGCACACAAGCAGGGGTGGAAGTGACGAGGTAGCACAGACTCACGAGATGGATGTGTGGTTTGATTTTGCTTCCGTTACTCGACAGAGACCGAGACTAGAGTGTGTTCCTGCAAAGAGTGGGATGAAGGGTTGGCAATTTGCGGGCGCGGCATCCATGTACGACCACACTAAGAAAGTCTTGCGGGAAGGAGATGAAGCCGTCACGCTGTCTTCACAGTACGATGGCATGATTGTGAAAGCTTGACGAACCGACGGTCTTGACTGCTTCGGGACACGGGACGGCGAGACATGCAGACGAGCGGAAATGTTGTGCTACAGCCCGAACGTATGACAAACCTGCGCGGCCCTCCCTCTCGAGGAATTTCATCTACTCGGACTGGCTGCCGCCTCAACAAGCTGCAGAACCGCTGAAGATTATCCGGTTGTTACTAAAATTGCGTTTGGTGTGCTTCGCGAAGCGCTTATCAAATTCGCTACCTGCAGCTTTGGGAAGCTCATTTGCCGTGCTGTCCTTGTCTCATCAACCAAGAGACGGGCGTTCCGGGTCAGCAGCAACCATTGGGATACGAGATATATGATGTAGGTGACACCTCGATGCTGTCTGTCTCTGGCCGAAGTCTTCGACCTGTGATGTTGACATCTAAATACAGGATGAACCCTTCCCGGGACCTCCAAATTGGCAATGCTTCATGTTTCCTTTATTGCAAAGTCATGCCCGAATGTGTTGGTGATCAACATTATCAATACCATTCTCGAGAGTTTCACCCCGGTCCCTTAGAGTGACCGACCTTCTTTCTGGACTCTTGGACTCTCAGACTCTGGAGCCCTGCTTGTGGATTGAACCATACTTTTTTCTTACCTTAGCTTTACGCTACCACTCTATTCGCCGTTCGGCTGCATCTTCCCTTGGCTCCCTGGTTCCTCTTCACCCAGTGGATCCGGAACCAACAGGAAGAGGAAGACCCTCTCACGCATCCCAGGCACAGGCACAAGGCCCCCCATCAGCTGGCAGGGACTCCCGGACTTTGTGAGGTCAGCTCAATACCAGATCCGACAGTATCTCGTTGGACCTTGGTGACTTGGTGCCTCTGGCATTGCTCTCGCTGCCCCGGCGCGCGTACCTGGCGTGATGGGTGCGCTGCCGTGGGACCCATCACGATTGTCACCATCGACTGGTAGGCTTGGACCGGGGGAGATGGAGAAGGAGGAGGAGGAGGAGGAGGAGGAGGACAAGTTATGCCAGCACCGCCCTCGTCCCTGGGCGGCGGCGGCAACGATGGATAAGGACATGGGCAGCGTTGCCAGCGTGGACCAGCATGAGCTCATAAGTTTCCTTGACGACACGGATACGGACGCGGACGAGTTTATCCTCTGCTCGTCTACTAACTTGTCCCCTTCTTCCATTCCCATTGCGCCCTTTCCGATCGACGAGGACGAGATCGACAGAGATCTTTCATCAACAAGAACAAGAACCAGCACCAGCACCAGCACCGACATTATTTTCAATAGTATCCGTAATAATACTTCATTCTACTCTTCCGCACGCTCAAGCTTCTCGTCATCGACAACAACAATAACAACAACAACAAATTTGACTTTTACGACGACATCGGCTGCATCAACCACCACAACGACAACGGCGACAATGGCGCCAACGACCATTACCAACAGCTTCCTCAGCATTGGGGGAGGTGACAACAACGCCGCTAGGAACAATGGCAAGAAGACAGCAGTAGCAACAGCGGAGACGGCGGCCGGTGGACGGACCAGCGAGGATAGCGTGGACCGGTCTCACGGCCTCTGGAACTATTTGCATCACGGACTCGACGGGTACAGCTCGCCCGATCTGCGTCTGCTCCAGCACCACCAGCAACAGCATAAACAATCCCCTTCGTCATCGTCATATCATAACCTCTACTTACGGCCCGACTCGTCGAGGAGCCACCAGCACTTTCACTTTCCCCGGACGAGCTCCGAGTCGGGTTCCCGCTCTGGCTCTGGCACTGGCTCTTCCGCGACCGCGACCGCGAACTCGACGACGTGGACACTGAGGAGCAGCAAGAGCCACGAGAAGAGCAATAGCAGCGGCAGCAAGAAGACCACGGCGACGACGGTGTCTGCCGCGAACTCGGCGACGATGCCAGCGAAGCCGACAAAGGTCAATACCACCGGATCAGCAGCAATTGCTGTGCCGCCTCCGCCGGTATCGCCTACATCGTCGGGACCCTTTGGGGCGCAGATGACGAAGCAAGAATTCGAGGCGTTGCCGGAAGCCATTCAGCGAAAGGTGAGCAGAGACATATCTTATTTGTGTGGGGTTTTTTGTTCTTCTTTTCTTTGTGGACCTGATTTACCCCGAGACTTCCCTTTGTCTTCTCTGGTGCTCTCTATTTCTGATTGTTCTGTTCCTGATTTTGCCCCCTTTGCACATCATCTTTCCCTCCACGGCCCTTCGCTCGAGCATTTTCTGTCAACCCCGATAATCTGCCATTTCCATGTGCCGTCCCGATGGGCATTCCTTTATTCGCAAGTGCCGAGTCTCTCGTTGCTTTACTTAGCGCAGCCAGCCAGCCGCCCCCCTTCCCCCAGCCGAGGAAGTTTGAGCCGAGAGACACGCCGTCTCTTCCAATTTGAGGACGGAACTGCGGCGCCTGTTTTTATTTTATTTTACTTCATTTTGTTTCTTTCCCCCTCGGCCCTGCTCTGCACGGGCTTATTTCCCGTGACCTATTGGCCCAGCCCTGGGCAGAATACCTACTGTGTTAGAGGCACAGGCGTGGCCGGGAGAGTGTCAGGGACACGGATGAAAGTGCGCTCGGCCGGTCATAGGGAAGAGACGAGAATGGCGAGTCGAGGCGACTTCTCTCCGCCTTCTTTCCGGGTTCCTGAGCGTTCGAGTGAGATGAGATGGGATGAGATCATGAGAGATGAGAGTTTCTCTGCCCGTCCGTTCTCACACTCATCACCGCTCGCCCTTCTGCTACCTGGTGGAAAGGCCCAGACCGACCCCGGGCAAAGCTATCCGTTTCCTCCAATGAGTCTGCGACCCAAGTCCAGGGTACCTTCACCTCGCCAACCGCAGCCGTCTGAGTTCCGCCGTATAGCTGCAGCGGGGACTCGCGGCTTGGGGGGGGGGGGGGGGAGGGGGGTGGCCGCCGTTCAGGTACCCATCGATGCAGGTTGGCTCGCCGAGTGGTTGCCCAACTGCAGCATCGGCGGCTCATACCTGGCGCGGAGAGAGAGAGAGAGAGAGAGAGAGAGAGTGAGCGAGACACACACATACACAGCGAGTGAGAGTAAGAGTGAAGTGTCCACTGAGACATGCACCCAGGAAAAGAACAGCCTGCTTCGGGCTCTCTTCCCCCCTGGAGAGCAGCTCATAATCATCACCTCCTTTCCGTCCAACCAACATCCAGCATCTCTCAGGCTCTTGTTCTTCAATCTCTCTCTCTCTCTCTCTGCCCCCAACTCGCATCTTCGCCCCCACATTCTCATGCACTCAGCTCCCAATATCACCTTCATTCGCTCTGGGGGGGGGGGCCAGTCAGCATTGGCGCCAGACCCTTCGTCAGGCACAAGGCACAGGCGCGGGCGGCACAAGCTATCCCCTCTTCTGTCCATATCTGCGTTCATGCTCATGCATATGCATAGCTGCCAACCGCTGAAGAGAGCGTTGTCCCCTTCCGCGCAGCTGAAGATGAGGGGATTGGGGGCGCAGGCCACGATGCAGACAGACGCGGCGGCGTTCACGAACTCGCATATGACGAATCGCATCGTGTTCCTGAGAGATGTCATGAGCATTGTCATCACAACATCATCAACAACACCATCATCACCACCAACAACAGTACCAAAATAACCCATCTCATCACTCGCTTCACATCATGTCTGGTCTTTGCATCGTCTAGCCTGGCCTGGCTTCCATCTCCCGCCCCTACTCCACACACGCTGCACAGTTCGATATTGCGCTATCAGCACACTCATTATCCCTCAGCACAGCATGGAGGCGTGTCTCTCTCATGTCTCTCTCACCCTTACTTTCACTCACTCTCACACACAACGTACCCCGGCCCGCCAATTCAGCCATAAACAGTTCCCGTGCCGTTGTGCAACCCAAGACCGAACGACATGTCTCATTCCAGTGCAGAACCTGGGCCCGAACATCCGTCATGTCTCTCCCCATTCCCTCGTTTGTCCACTCATCCAACCCCCCCGACCTTCCTCGGACTCCCTCCTCACCCATCATTATTGCAACGGCGGGCCTATCTTTTTTGGTAGGCAGCACATCCCAATTCCCACATTCTATGGAACCCACCCGGGCCACCAAGTGGTGCCGCTGGCTGAACGGACAAGCGAGCTAAGCCGCAAGTGCTCTTGGTGAGCTTGGTGCGGCGTGGGACTCTAGAGCTATTCCCGCATGGCGTGTGCCGTCCGTGTCTGCGTCGTCTTGTCTGTCGTCTCTCATCGAAAAGTCACTATGCACGGCACATGCATCCGCACTGACGCTGAGCATGGTGCTGATGCACTGACCTGACTTGACATGCATCACGGACTCTCACACTCACTCCCTCCCTCACTTTCCCTTACGCTCTCTCCCACGCAAGTCTTGGAACCACTACCATAGCTCCCTCCTGCTTGTCTTTCTCCTCCGGCTTCTTCCCCCCCCCCCCCCCTGGCACCCAGCCGCCCCTCCTGTCTCAATTGACGGTTTGGAGCTTTGCGTCCAAAGTCATGGGTCGGCTCCCGGGCTATTCCTAGATTGCCTGTAGAAGCAATCCCAATCCCAGAACCCCGAGCTTGTCCCTTGAGGGCCGGGGGGCTGAATTGAGTTCGAGCGTCGCTGATCTCGATGTATTGGGTTGGCGTTCAAGTTGATTCGAGCAAGTGCTCCTCTCTCCTCTCTCAAAGTATCTATGCCTACGCATACTGCAGCTTGATGACTGCGGTATCGCACCCACGCCAGACAGTGTCCATCTTAGAGAGTAATTCCTTCCCGTACTTCGTACCTCCGTACATCCTCAGTACGGTAGCTGCTCCATCCGTCATGCACCTCAGCAGATGCAATGCAGGTCCCGCTCACAAGCACCACCGCAACACGACGCAACACGATACAGGTGCGGTGCGGTGCGGACGAGCACAATCTCCAGTCCCATACTTAGTGGTGCAAGTGGAGGGAACACGACGTCCTCCCTCCCTCTGCTCGTTCCTGCATTAAGACACTACATGCCCTCCTTGTTTCTCCATTCCATTCTTGCCCCCATCTACATTCCGGTCTACGCCTTTGTATCTTCTTTTTCTTCCTCATCTCACCTCACAACTCTTACTAAATCCTTCCTCAGTACTTTAGCTCCCTCGAACGCCTTCACTTTGCCAGTCTTGCTCCGGCTCCCCCTCCGTCATCCACACATATCGACATCTACTTTGACCATCCAGACACTGCACCCACACCAAAGACATTGAAGCAGCGCCGCAAGGAACGTCAAGCTAGACTTGCATCCGACCAAATTTCCGACCGCGTCAAGAGACGGCCTTCCCGCCGTGCCAATTTCCGCGCTTCGACGAGCTCCTCCGTCTACGTACGGCTGCCCGACAAGATTAGGAAGAGGCACTTGACTACCGAAGAGCAAATTGTTGCTTCCCGAAACCGGAGACACGACATCATCCTTGACCCGGCTGATGAGGCCATTTACAAAGTTCGAAGACGAGCCTCCAGCCTGATTGTTCAAGACGATTTGTGGAGTCCGACTCTATCGGTGAGACCTTCGACGATGGAGTCTCGACGGCCGAGCCAGGAGACGAGGAAACAAATGCCCAAGTCGGAAGAGAAGAAGTCCCCTCAAGTTCAGAAGAAGCGGGACTCATTCTACGACAGCTTCCGTTGGTTGGAGGAGGATGACGACCTAGACCTGCGTTTACATCTGGACGACTACCACGCCAATTTGCGAGAAGATCTACCGGCCAACTCGAAACAGCGCAGGCCGTCGTTTCGCAGGCACCTTTCCATATCAAAGATACCTTTTGGTCGCAACTCTCTCTCTACCAACCGCCCCGGTACGACACCCGCCGGTGCCAGCCATCCCACGACTCCGCTGTTTTCGAGCTCTCCGGTCAGCCCCCAGACAAGTTCTCCGGGCCACGGCCGGCGGAGATCGCGGGCGCTGTCCCTGATTACACCGAAGCATAGTCCCCGGGACACTGTGGCCGCCTTTGACCCAGAGGCTGCACACTACCAAGATCCCGAGGCCCGCCTGAAGCTGCGGGTATATCTGGCCTCCCCTCAAAAGTTTGACGAGGCCATCGAGTTTGGGTTTCCTTCAAAAGAAGCCATGGTCACCAAGCCTGGCAAGGACGTCAAGCAACCGAGACACAGACAATCCAAGGCAGCGTTGGTGGACGAGTCAGAAAACCTCCGCACCTTTCTCGCCGACGATCGGTCGTCGATCTTCAGCGATGATGGATCCCTTGATTCGGATTCTCCCAAGACACCCCATACAGTGGAGATGACAGCGCTCCGGCCGCCGCCCATCAAGAGCGATCAGCTTCACTCACCCAAACCATCAACGGAATACGCACGGATGCCGGCAGAGGCGAGAGAGATGACACTTCGCATGACCCTCACCCGACCCGACCTCCGAGCCCACGAAGATCAGATGTACGGCTGGCAGCAGAAGCCGTTACCGCCCAGGAAATCCCAATCCAACGGCTTACGAGACGAATTTCCGACGTCGACATACGTCCGAGATGCATCGTCAAAGGAGAGCATAGAACGTCAGTTCGCGGCCATGGACCAAGAAAACGCTCAGGCCAACGACCGAGGCGTCATGAAGCGTTTTTGGAACAAGGTCCGGCGAGGGCCGGCATAGCGCTCGCCATCTCCTTTTTTACCATGCTCGGACCCGATGCTCTCGAATCGCAAATCTCATCTACCCCCGCCCGTTAGACACAGGCAGCAAGATTGCAAACAACAACCTGCATAATGAACTTGAACAGCACTGTTTCTTATACCCCCATTCAATCTGTATACTGCCGAAATTCCATAGTGTCTATTATTTCCTATCTCGACAAAATTCTTCCAAAGCGGCCTTTTTTCTGGGGTAATTGTATTGAGGCTAGGAGTAATTGTCAGAAGAAGCATATGGGGGGAGCGGGGGATGTGGTAGTTGGTTTGAAAGGAACGAGGCCCTTTACCGCCCTTTCCGCTTGTCGTATCTGACAAAACATCATGTTGGAGAAGAGACAGGTCCTACAATGGTAGAGAGATGGTAGATCCTTTACCTAAAAAGGGGGGGGCAAAGCAAGGAGTTGCATAGGGTAGCATCGTCAATCGGGAGAAAGGGAGGCGCTCGCGCGCAAAGCGTCAATCAGATATGCCAAACCAAGATAAAATAAAATAGAACAATAATCAAAACAAAACAAAACAAACCAATGGTCCGCTCAGTCTTCTATGTGATGGGGTGCATGGCCACGAGGGAGTGATGGGCTGCATTGGTGACATGCACCATGTGTCACAGAATAGGGAGGGGGGGATGGGATGCAGTGTTACGGTACCGTGAGCACGGCACGCACGAGGAGGACCAACTGCCAAGTGTCAATCACCCTGGGCGGGAGGAGACACGAGAGATACCGAATGATGGGCGCTTCATGGCACGGCAGACAAAGTCTCGAAACGCGGATCAGAGCAGTAAACATTACGGAAATACGGATTATGTGAACAAGTGAACCGTGGCTCTGAGCCTCTGACAAGGGTCTGACAAGGGTCTGACTTGACCCAGGAACCTGGTTGATAGCCAACTAGCTTTTAAGCCTACTAACGGTCGGACCCCCTTCCTCTCCCCTGCCTTTGTCGGAGTTTCCGAGGTTTGGTGTACAGTAATACAGGTTATGTTGTAGGATCACTGAGAAACGAAACGGGCGGACCGGCATGGAAAGACTGGTGGTATGGATTGCATGGTGACGAACATTACTTGATGTTGAGATTGTTAGTAGACGTACTAAGTCGCATACGCCGAGGGGGTCCTTCTTTGATTAGAACACGCCGTATGCTTGGTAAGACGGAAATTATTGAGCGATTCGTTTTATCTGGAACATCCTTGTCCGAAAACCTGGGCCCCGAGGACTTGGAATGGGGTTGAACTTTGACGGGAGTTTGAACGTTTGGCACTTTGAGGTGTCAGTGTGGTTTGATTTGTGATGGGATGGACCCTGGGGTGACTCTGCAAGTTTCGTTGTCATGGCGAGCCGCTCGGATTTTTTTTCTTCTTTTTTTTTCTTTCTCTTTTCTGGTTCTTCCGTTCTTGTTCCCTTGCTTCAATCTTTGCCAGAAACATTTGCGTTGGAAACATTTACGGGAGAGAGGGGGCGGGGCAACATTTTCAGACTACGTTAGTGCCGTCCTTGATGTTGGATATCGTGGTGCGCAAAGGGATGGTAAAGTGAGGTGACGTTGATGGTCTTTAGCACGCGCGGGATGGCATGATGTCAAGTCTTCTGTCTAGTGTCCATCCGTACCTACTCTCTGGAAAAAACCATGGTGGGTTTCCAAGGAGGGAAGGGTGGCATCGGGAAGGGTGGCATCGGGAAGGTCGTGTTCCGTTGAGCACCTTTTCACCCTTCCCGCCTTGATGGAAATTATCCCGCGGGGACCATTTTCTTCGGGGACCATTTGGCGTGATCAGCCACAAGAGTCAGCCCCCCTCCCCTCCCCGGTTCTTGTAAGTGGGATTGTCATTTTTGGTGGTGGAGGGCTGGACGATCCGACGAGGTGGACGCGGGAGGTGGGGAGAGGAGGCTTGAAACCGTTCATGGCGGGCGTTTGTGTTAGCCTCCCCTTGGGTAAGGTACCTTGGGTTTTTTGTCTCGGCACTTTTCACCTCTTCCTCCTTGTTTGGGGAAGAGCGGGAAACGGAAATAGGAGCTCAAGCTCACGAACCAAGCTACCGATATCCTTCCAGACTTCGTAATCTTGATTAAGTTTTGAGACGTTTGGCACTAGAAGTCGTTTTAGAAAAGGCAGAGAAGGGGGGGGGGGGCAATTAGAGGTTCGGAAAAGCCGTTGACTTGCAAAACTATGCGCGCGCGCGCGCGCCAATGGTTCAGATGAAAAAGCAAGCAAGGCTTTTTTGTACCTTGTGTGCTCTTTGACCGAAGAAAGACTTGAAAATAACCTTGCTATTTGCTGCAGTTTTTGAGACGAGAGCTCGGGCCGGGGATTGGGGAGAAAGATGTCATAGCGTATATGAGGGGGATAGATTTTGGACGAAATTTGGATGTCCAGCTTGGACGCACCGTCGTGACACATGCTTATTGTGTGTGTGTGAACCATGTGAGCCAGCCACGTGCGCCCTTTGTGTCGGTTCTCCGGTTTTTGTTTCTTGCTGGCTTCAATTCGTTTCGGGGTTCGTGGGTGGGGGGTATTAAGATTTGAGAATTGAAACATGCGATGATTTGAGTGGTGTGGAGTTTTGCGGGTTGAAACATTGTCGATGAAAGGGACTTTTGGGGGATGATCTCACTGCAAGGCCTGGGGCAGATACCAATACCTACCTTGCCTGACGTGTGGGAGACACGGGTCAAGATGGAGATTGACTGTAGACCATGGAGAGGAGCAGGAAATGGTGAGCTACACGAGACCCGTTTTCAAGCTGTTGTAACTGACCCTGAGATAATGTTGATCTTGCGGGTGGACAGCCGTCGCCAAATCCTCAGATGAGTTAAGAAAAACGAATATTCACCAAGTAATTCAGCGGTTGATGCGTCGATGCGTCGATGCGTCGTTGTAGAGGCAATAGGGCAAACATGGTAGCCCAAGTATGCCATCTCGCCCCGGCCGATGTGGGGCCGTCTGTCACCGGCGCCGGAGGACAGCAGTCGGCGGGCTCCACTGCCCATTTTGGCATATGGGAGCGGGACTCAATGACCACGCCGACTGACCTCCGTTCAAAGGTCCTAAGTACCGCTGTCAGTGTCGATGAAGGGCACGTGTCTGATGTATCTTAACAATGGTGTCCTTTAGCAATCTGTGACCGCGAAATGACGCATTGCTACATACCTGACATCCAGTGCTTTCCTTGTGCATGTTTATCCAAGTCGGAGTTTCTGGGTTTCCCATGCCCCCACATATCATTTAATTTCTTGGTGATACTGATGAAGCATGCGAATGAAACTTTGCTTCTTTCTTCAAAGCTGATGAAGACCAAGCTGGAGGTACCTTACCTACTTCACTGTGCCTCGAGGGATACCACCTATGCGGGAGGGGGGGTGGCCAGGGCAGAGGCCGTTCTTTCTGCTGGCTCTATATCGCTTAATTGGGCAGTAGCCCCCCCGTGTACATAATGCAGTGTTTATGTTGACTTGACGGCAAGTGCGCCCCTTCCTCTTATATTCTAGATTATTATGTTAGTAGAGTTACCTTCCTCGAATAAAGGAGCAAATTCAGCAGAGATCCTAGGGTCTAGGGAGCTTAGGACATTATTTAGAAGAAGTAAAGAGGGAAAATAGGGCGCTTTTGCATATATACGGACCACGAGCAAGACGAAGGGTCACCCAACCAGCAGAGTGGCCCTTTAGGGACATAACCCCCCTATGGAGCAGTCGAATAGACCTCTGTCGAGAGCACCCCCCCCCCCTCCCGGGTAGGCAGTCACGTGATAGCGCGAAAGTGGACCGAAGAGTGGACACCGTGTGGCGCGGCCAAACGACCAGAAATTTTGGTGAGCCGTTAAGACGGAACTTCGTGGCGAGGGACGTCGCTCAATATCACGTCCTCACAGCATTGCCACAAATTTGCCCGCAATGTTGCGAAACTCTGGCAAGCCATATGTGTGCTGGAGATGTCTTTCATCCAGGCCGTCACTATCGCCAGTCGCCGGCGGCTTGCACTCCACCCTACCACTCCAGCAGCTAGGGACAGGCTCCACGGAGTCTAGAAGGGTACGTCTCACTTTTGACGAGGGCTGCCTCATCAAAGATTACCCAAGGTCTTTGAATCTCACTAAACTCATTCACAGTCATATGCGGGTGGAGGATCCCATTACGGTGGCAACCAGGGCGGGAACTATCGCGGGAATTATGGCCACCAAGGCGGTAACGCTCGTGGTGGTAACTATGGCAATGGCGGTGGCAGAGGTGGGCCTCGCAAGCCAACGGTCATAGCCACGAAAGAGGAACTGAAATACATCCGTCAAAAGTCGGATATCAGGATGCGGCTCCGGGACTGGGAGAGCGCAAACTACTCACCCTCGAAGCGTCTGCTCCAGGACCTGCCTACGCAGGACACGCCGCTGTTGAACTACCTGACCAGACCGGATCTGCTCCCTGCCTCTGTGGGATCCATGGCAGGTAGAGAAAGGGAACTACACGATAAAACCAAGCAGAACCGCGACTTGTCCGAAGGCGACGAACTTCAGGATCTACGAGGATCTACATTCGCCCTCAAACCTGGTGACCTGGTCGAGACAAAGTACAACAGCGGCCGCTTGCCCATCCTGGCAATCTGTGTTGGCCGTCACAACAATTCGCAGTACTTCTACATGAGCACGGGTGAACTCGTCCCAGAGCGCAACATCGTCACCCTCTTCATCCTCAAAAACTTTGTCGATCCGTACAGACTCAAGCCCCTCGCCGACATCTTGCCCGCGGAACCCGAGACGGAGGAGCGGCGCAACGCGCTGTTTCACAACCATACGCCGGATGCGCTCAAGACCGCCGCTCAACTGCAAGGAGACTTGATCAAATTCTACCAGAACTCCGTCTCGTTCTACCAGTCCCAGCTCACCCTGGACCTCGCGAGCAAACACTTGGCCACGGACGAGCTGCAGTACCTCAGCCTCGAGGAGATCGCGGACAAGCTGCTGCCTCAGCACGTAAAAGTGGGCGACAGGTTCCTTCCCCATCAGCTGTACGCTGTGCACACCGCCCTGAACCGTGATGGGTGGGGGTTCCGCCCGCTCAACATGAAGTGGCACAGGCGCAACTACATCTACGAGGTCAGGTCCACATCCGACCTCAAACTCCTGAACAAGGTCGAGAACCAGGTCCGCGAACTGGTGGAGGGCGCCGCGCTGCGCGAAAACCCGGCGCAATCCCTCTCCCTCCTTCGCCAGAACAGCCTCGGTTCCTTCATCCTCAAGGCTCGCGGAATAATTCAGGCGAGCCGGCTGAGACGAGAGTGGACACCTCATGGCATGATTGGACCTAGCAATGACGAGGTGGATAGCCTCGCGACTTGGAGCAAGCAGGATCTCGATTACATCCGCTTCATGGAGCTATGGGCGTGTCACCGCATCGTGCCGAAGCCATCTCAGCTCGAGAGTCTAGGCTCCACCATTCTCAAGTTGACGGACTGCTACAAGGATTCCGACTGGGTGGCGTACTGGACGGCCTTCACTTTCCTCCAGGAGATCGGCTGGATTCCACCCTGGGACATCCCAGCTCGTTACGAGTACAAGCTCGCGGGCACCACTGTCCAGCGAGGCGCTACCATGGGGACGCCCCTCGTGGACGTCAACGCATCACTCCGACCTGATATCGCTGAGGGCCACAGGCGTGACTGGGGCAAAACGACAATCTTCTGTGTGGACTCTGAGCAGACGGCCGACGTGGACGACGGCTTCTCGGTCGAGGCGGCCGAGAAGCCTGGGGAATATTGGATACACATCCACATTGCCGACCCGGGATCCCGCATCGACCCCAAGTCCGCGCTTGCTCGTCAACTTGAAAAGGCGCCGTCGAGTTTGTACATGCCCGGATACACCCAAAAGATGCTGCCGCGGGATCTCGAGCAGGAGTTCTCGCTGAACCCCGGCCGACCGTCGTTGACCTTCAGCGCCAAGGTCAACGAGATAGGGGACATCCTAGACTACAAAGTCGAGCCGGGCACCGTGCAAAACATCTTGCACATCCCCAAGGGAGAGGTCACTGGCATCCTGCCCGGCCTTGAAACACAGACCGTCAGCAAGACCTTCGTCGTGGGCAAGCCACCCTCGCCGCCCAAGCCTGTGAAGCACATCACTACCGCCGCAGACCTGTCCCAGGAAGATAGGGACGACCTACTCCTCCTCAACCGCCTTTGCAAAGCCCTCGAGCATCGCCGCGTGGAAAAGGGACAGCTGCCCCCCTTCGAAACCAGATTCGACTCACCCAAGGTATCCCTCGACCACATCGTCGTCAAAGGCGACTCCGATAACCTGACCAAGTCCATGGCGTGGCAGGGCGACCCCTTTATCGAATTCAACACGTCCACGTACAGCAAGGCAGACCGCCTCGTCGAATCCCTCATGCACACGGCTGGCGAAGTCGCCGCAAAGTGGTGCCAGGCCCGCGCCATCCCCGTCCCCTACAGCACTCAACCCGACGCCGTCGCCAACGCAAAGGGCCTCGCCGCCTACCGCCGCGAGCACATTGACCCCTTGACGGCGCAAGGCAAGCCCATTCCCGCCGAGCACATCCACCGGCTCCTCGTCTATGTCGGCAACTCGGAGATCTCGGCCAGCCCGGCGCCCTTTTACGCCGTCGGCGTCGACGCCTACGCAAAGTCCACCAGTCCCATCCGCCGCTTCAACGACCTCGTCGTCCACTGGCAGATCCACGCCGCTCTCGCCCACGAGCGCGAGACGGGCCGCTCCCTCGTCCGTGAGGACGTCTCATCCGACGAGGCCGGTGCCTACGCCGGTGCCGACGCCGGCGCCGCCTTCCTCCCTTGGACGCACCGCTCCCTCTCCAACGCGCTGCCGATGCTCCACGCCCTGCAGCGCCAGATCAAGCAGGTTGACAACAAGAACGCCCCGACGCACTGGGTCGCGCAGGCGCTCTTGCGCGCGTGGCGCTTCGGCGAGGCACCGCTGCCAAAGACATTTAAGCTTGTCGTCGACGCCGTCTACTCGTTTGGTCTGAGGGGTCGTTTGAGCACCTTTTACAACCTGGGCGCCTCTGTGAACCTGCTGGGGCTGGATGGTTACTGTAGGCTGGCGGACATGCAGGTTGATGATGTGCTTGATGTCGAGATTACCGACATCAATGTCGTGACCATGCAGATTTGGTGTCAGCCCGTGGGACGTCGACGTGTCGACAAGAAGAAGAAGACGACGAAGAAGGACGATGCGCCTGCTGGCGATGCGGTAGCGGCTACTCCCATGCCTGCTTGATTGCGCTGGGTAGCACAGCCTTGCGATACCTGTAACACCACCCAGAGAGGAATCTCGTGTAAGATGAAAGACAAAAACAATTGTACAACATAACATAGACATGATTCGAATTTGTAAGATAGTAGGAAACGTTGGGAATCATCCACACACTGGATCAATATGTAGGGTCAGGAAACAGCCCTTTGGAAATAGAGATAGGCTGGCTATCTGTATAACATTGCCATGACCTCAACACGAAATTCTAGCCTCATCTCAACTACTGGAAAGAACGTTGCCTCAAAATGGTATCTGTCTTACATCCGAGATATAAGTTTACAAAATCTAATTTCCCACCAAAGGGGCTGATGATAGGGGAAAGCAGTTCTCCCTCCAGCGTTCTTCAACATATTATACACACTTCACCCTCCCACTTCTCTCAGAAAGCGGAACATCTAGACACATCACCCGACTCTATCTCTCTCAAGCCTTGACATCATTCCCGCCATCACTCTGCCCATCGCGAGGCGGCGCATCAGCGACAAGATCACCCCTCTTCTTCTCCAACCCATCAACCCTCGCCCCCTCCACCTTGCGTCCCGTCACGAACTCGATACCAACCAACCCAGCCAACATACCAAACAAATGCGACGTCAAATCAATCGTCTGCTTGCCCCGCCTAAAGAAGGCATAGATATGGAACCCCAAGATCAACGCAATGAACCCCAGCCCCTGAGGCCCATTCATCGGATCCGGCGGGAACCCAAGCACCTTGAACGAATCAAACCGATGCATCCAAAAGTACGCCGTCGCAACACCAAACACGGCGCCCGACGCACCCACAGTCGAGACGGTCAACAACCCCCGAAGCGTAAACGCCGTCAAACTACCCAGGAACCCAACGGCGCCAGAAGCCAAATAAATCGCCAGGAAATTCGCCCGCCCGACCTCGTCGTGCAACGCGGTGCCCATGAACCACAGCCCCACCATGTTAGTCGCCAAATGCCCCAAGGAACTATGCGAGAAATTCGCCGTAACCATCGTCACGGCGCGCGGCATGCCGTGCACGAGCACAAAGTACCGGTTCAGGAACCGCCACAGCGGCGGCACGCGCCACGCGATCGAGACGACGACGTTGAGCGCAATCAGCGCGCCCACCGTCGCCGTCGAGGCGCCGACCTCGGGGAACAGGCGGTCGGCGTCGCGGGGCGGCGTATACACCGCCGCGAACGCCGCCAGCGCGCCGACCAGCAACAAGACGACGGCCGCGGAGGGGAGGATGCGTTCGGCGAGGGTTAGCGGGGGCGGGGCGGCGAGGTCCGAGGCGGTGCCTTGTTCCGTCCACTTTGCCATGCGCGGCGTCATGGGGGGCCGCTTGATGGGGATGGAGAGCGTGCCCGGGTTGTACTCGATGCCCTTTGCCTCGGCCTCGGCGATGAGCCGGGCCTCTTCCTCGGCGGCCTTGGCTTGGTTTTTTGCGCGGATTGCGTCAAAGGCGCTGTAGCCGTATACGGGGTCTGGTTTTACGACGGGGGCGGGTTCCTTTCGGAGGGACGGTGTTTTGGAGCCGGCGGTTGCGGTTGACGAGGTGTCTTCGTCGGCGCTGCTCTCCTCCTCCGCAAGGTCCTTCTCCAGCGCAGCAAGCTCGTCCTCGGCCCGGAGTCCCGCGTTGAGGACCTCGTCTACGGGCGTCTTCTCGCGGAGGTAGGCTAGCGCGGCGTCGCGCTGTTGGGAGGTGAAGGCGGCGGTGTTGATGGCGAAGGCGGGGTCCTCGAGCGTGCCGGCGACGCGGCGGCCGTGCATGATGCGCAGCAGCCGGTTCGCGGCGGCGGGCTTGAGGGAGGCGCCAAAGACGGACCTGACTTCGGCGGCCGAGAGGTCCTTGTTTTCCTCCCTGAAGCGCAGGCCTAGTTTGTCCTTGTAGTCGAGGGGGAGATCTACGTAGTCGCGGAGGACGGGTTCGTTCTTGTAGTCGGTTTTGGGCGGTTGCGATGGTGGTGATGATGCGGAGGAGGCCCGTTTTTGTATCGATCTACCGGCCGTCATGGCGGTGAGGCCGGGGGATGGCCATTGGGTTCGACGCAGGGGGGAGGGACCCGGTGCGTATGGTCGGCTGGCGGCGGTGGACGCTCGGTAGGTGATGGTGCATGTTGAAAGAAGTCGTGACGCGGGCGAACAGCTTGTGGTATTCGGCGCGGAACGGCATGCGGCGCGCAGGCCGAGGTGGAGGAATGACCTCGAGGGGACGAGACCGAGTGAGACGTTCATGGCTTCCTAGAGCCGCCCTGGGTGGGCGAACAACCTTCTTTTTTCCTCGTTTCGCGGAGCGCACTGAGAAGCTAGACACTCATCAATGCGCCAGTTACTTGTCGACGAGGGAAGTTTATCTTTCGTGAAGGCTGTGGGCGTGTGTCACCTCTCGTATTGTAAGTGCCGTTGCACTTTTGCGCCTGTTCGCAGGGGTAGTTGGGGTGGTTGCTCGTCGTCGTCGTCGCGCGCGGGCGGCGTTTGTCGCAGTGGTTCGATCTCAAAGACGCAATCGAACCCGTAAATTCTTTGGATAATTCCGACCACGGGGATCGGGACCGCGGCAGCCGGCCAAGGGCAACTTCCGGCCCACCCCCGGGGTACCTAAGAACCTTACTAAGGCAGGTAATCGATAACGACGGGGAGCGGATAACTCCGTCGGCGGTAAGCCCCAATCGAAGCCCCCCCTTTCGTCATTTTCCATCAAGGTATCCGTACCTGACCGCTCCCCCCTGCTCATTCCCCACCGCCGGAACCTTCCACTGCACCTTCCACCACCTTCCCATCCAACCCACCCCGCGCTCACCTAGCTTTGGAGGGAAGCTACCTGACCTCCTCTACCTTACCAGCTGGCAGAAAACCTGCGGTGACGTTGCACGGCATCTACATGGAAGACGTTCCTTTCTTCTACCTTACCAAACACCAAAGCCCGCACATCGTCATCGTCCTCCCTCCCTCCTTCCCTCTGTCCATTCTTTCAATCATCACTCGCTTTCACCTTCTTCCCCTCTCCTCCACCTGGGGATCCCCATTCCTTCTCTTGCCCACCTAACACCTCCATCCTCAACAAAACCAAACACATCCAAAGTCGCAAACTCACCAACCACCAAAAACCCAATACCAAACCCAAGAAACCAAACTTCCATCCTCCGAACGGAAATACGACCCAACCGCCCAAAATGTCAGCAGACACCCGCCCAATATCCCCAACCCACTTCGCCACCGCCCTCCACGACCTCTCCCTGCCAACCCTACACCTCAAAGCCCTCGAAATCCGCAACTCCATCCTCCACCTCGAATACTCAAACGCCCAGCTCGCCCCCTACGCAGCAGGCGACGCCACGACCCTCGACTCCGCCACCGACGCATCAGCAGGCCACGGCCCGGACCCGACCTGCGTCGAAGCCATTCGCGAAAACGACGTCGTCATCGCCCGCATGCGCGAGCGCGTCCAGATTATCCGCGACGAGGTCGAGAGCAGGGGACACTCGTGGAACGAGTTCAAGAGCAAAGAGGAGGTGGAGGAAGAGGAGGTGGAAGCAGCGCGAGGAGGAGCGGCGGCGGATCGGAGGGGGATCACGAGTGAATCCGTGGCTGGTGCGCATGGCGTCAATGGGAACGGGATTCCGGCGACAAACGGGCTTGGCGCGGCGGCGGCGGAGGAGAATAGGATTGCTGCTGGACGTCAGGGCGCGCCGGCGAGTAATGGCAGTGGTCCTGTCGCGAGCTCGTCACACCCTGCTTGGATGGACGGTACATTCCAGATGGGGACGATACGCAACGGCGTGATCACGATGGATGGTCCACCTGCGCAACCTTCTCAGCCAGCTCAGCAAGCAAGTGGGACCGGTGGTCGCCTGACAGATGAGGAACTGCGCCGGGCCATGGAGGAGCGGATGAGGGGTCTCGGCGATGATGACGAGGACGGCGGAATGCATCTGTGAGAATGTGGCAGGAGCGGCTGGATTACACAAGGGATTCACTATCGACGAGGCGTTTGGTCTGGTTCGAGGAAACAGACCAAACAAAAAGGAAAAGGGTCTAGTGGACGTTGCGACGCCAAAAATTCGGACAGAGTAACAATACCCTTCTTGTTCCTAGTGCTACTTGCTAGCAATGCCATGACAAAGGGAAAATAGGAAAGGAAAAAAAAAAAAGAGAGGCATAAAAAAGAAATAAAAGGCTTCATCGCATCTTTGTGTGCGGCCGAATGTGTAAGATGTAGAAACGAAGAGATGAAATAAAAAAGACCAAAGAAACAAGCCATGAATCTCGTCCTCTTTAAACAAGACCAACCCAGAGACCCCAGACCCCTATTTTTCAAATACCCAATTGCCCGCCGTATGCTTGCTCTCGTGCTTTTTGTGCAACACGCCTCTAAACGCCTCGATGCCGAATCCCATTTCCGAAAAATGCAAATGCTCCTTCCCTTGAACGCTATGCCCCTCTCTGGGAGTAGAATATGCTGTAGATGACCCTCGTTAAATGATGATGGGGAGGGCCAGAGACAACTAGAAAAAGTGTGTTCTGGTCGGCTATCTGTTCGACCTAGTTCATGAAAGGTGTTCAACATCATGATACTGTCGTGGTAGTGGCGACAGTGGTAGGTGTGTTCTCGTCTGCGGTGCGGTTGATGATAGGGTTGGCAGACGCTTTGGGCGTGACGTCAGAGTTGTCCTTGACTGCGACGTCCGGCTTCGTGCCGTTGGGACGTGCCTTTAATGCCTGCCTGGAGTTGGAGCGGGAGCTTTTAATGGTCTCCAGCTTGGGCCGTCGGGGAGGACTCGACTTCCCCAGCGAATCCCACGTGCGGTGCTGGATAAAGTCGTCCTCGTCCGAAGAGGTCTCTTCGGGCGTCATGGGAACTCGTCGAGCACGGGCGATGCGCCGACGTTCTACCAGCTCGCCGTCTGAAGATACTTCAGAGTCTAGCGAGAGGCTACGGCTACGGCTACGGTTGGACATGCCCCTGCTCGATACCGTTGTTCGCCGTGACCGCCTGCCAATGAGCGAGTCGATCAACTCTGATTCCGAGGGCGTCTCCTCCAAGGGCAGCTTCTCTCCCTGTTGCCGCAACTTCTTCTTCAAAGCCTTCTCACGGACCAGCCTGTCCAAGGGGGTGTCCTCAGACGCCATCGTTCTCCTGCTTCCGACTGTGCTGGTGCTCTGCGTTCTCGCGACGGGAATACGGCCCTCCATGAGCTTGGCAGGGGGCGGCGGCTGCAACATCCACTTGAGAGCGTCCGGACGGGACGGCTTGCTTCCTACTATCGGCGGGTGGTACTCGTTGACGGGCGGGTTTCTCGGCGTACGGTAAAAGTTCTCGCGGTCCTCATCTGTGATGGGCTTCTCCAGCCCCAACTTCTCCTCCATATAGCGGCCGGCCGTGTTCCCAGCCTTTGCGATGTTGTCCATCAGCTTGTGACCCATGCCGGTGAAGTTGTGACCCCAAAGCTCCTCGTCCTCTCGTTGATACAGCTCTCTGTTCCAGCCCTCGCCGGACAGCTTTCGACCAGCTGGGGAGGCACTTATTGTCGGGGTCGCAGGGCTGGTGCTCTCGGCGACGGTACTCGCGCCACCAAAACTCGCGGCTGTGCTCGTCCGGCCTGCGCTCGCCAGGCCTCTCTGGCTCGAGTTTTTGTTCATTGACTTTTTGGGTAAGTGTGGTCCTGCAGCCATCTCCTCGGCCCAGAATGGGTTTGTGTGAAAGGGGTCAGGATGACGGTACAGTCCAGGCTGCTCCATCTCTATTTTCCGCTTCACCTCCCTGTCCTCTTTGGCCTTCTTCTTGGCCTTTCGAAAAGCCTTCATCTCGTTACATGGTGTACATGCGAGGTAGTAGAAAATCGCCGACTGGATGGCGACTGGTAATGACATATTTGCGGTATGGCCGTAACCCCGGCGTGGGGAGAAGGTCTGGAGAGTGTTCGGTGCCCGGTATTTCTAGTACACATGGAAGGCAAAGGATATATTCGGGGGGCGGGGGGGGGGGCGGTTCGAAGAGGTGGTGGTGAGTTGGTTATGGGTGTCGAGGGGGGTGATATAGACGAGGGTGCCGACTTGTTGGATCGAGTGGTTCGCGGGGAGAAAATAAGTGTCCAAGTGGGAGGAAAGTGACAGGAACCACGAGGAGGAAAGGTGGTCCAAACAGGCAAAGCGGATGTTCAAGGTACCCAGGATAAGGTGAGGTACGGACCGGGTACGGGACGGTAAGGTCCTTAAGGTAGAATAGGGCGCCTTTGAACCTAAGATGAGTTGCTCAGGGAAGGGAAAGGAGCGCGTGCCAGCAGCAGAGGGAAGTCTAAAGCGCCATTGAAGTGAATCACCGGCGCAGAGTCCAAGACACAGTTTCGGTACGGGGGCGCGAAATGCTTTAAAAGTGGCTCGGCCTGTGCGGCCCCTCCAGGTACTGCGAGTATCGAGGATTGGTGTTGGGGAGGACGGAGGACGGAGTGAGGTTTCAAGGTTGAGTGACGGACGACCTAGACGGTGCTATTCTCGAAGAAGGGGGTGCGTGTAAGAGGCACAAGCACAAGCACAGGCGTAGTAGGCGCAGGCGCAGGCGTGACAGCAACCGGTGCAGTCTGCAGTCCAATCCAGCTGGCAGGAACTAAAAAAGAAACTTGCAATGCAGTCCAGTAGGTAGGCGAGCAAGCCAGAGGTCGTAGAGTACCTTGGTCCTTGGGGGTGAGTCTGTGAGGTGGTAGGTAATGGCCAGGACCGTAGCGCAAGGCGGCGGTCGGGGTGCCGGATGAGGATGGATGGACGGGCGGGCTCGGACGGAACGGTTTAGAAAGTAGGGAGGACCAGATGATTGTGGTTGAAGATGAGGGTGCCTCGGAGGCTTGCGTCGCGTGAGCGAATAGACGTGGGCGTATGGCGGATGCGGTACGGAGTATGTTACTGTCGAGTGTGTAAAGGGTGCTGCTGCTTGTCTCCCTCTCTCTTGCTATTATTGCGCTACCACATGGAAGGATGACGATGGATTCGATTGGCGGTATCGAGTGGGTTTGGGATGAAGAATTGAGACACAGACACACAGGACATACAAGAGGGAGAAGAGGGGGAGGGGGAAAAAACAAGAAAGGGAGCGGAATCAAGTGAGGGAAAAAAAAGACGAGTGAATTGAAGGCGAAATGGAGTTGAACTGCTTTAGAGACGACGTTTCGAAAAAGGGAGGCGCAAGCCGCAAGGTAAGTAGTACCTACCTCACCTCACACTCACACACCCAGGTCTCCTCTCTCTACCTTACACCATGGGCAGGTCCCTCCCCTCTCGGTCTCCCTCTCCCTCTCCCTCCTTCCTTCCCATCGGGCATTCAATTGAAGGGGGTAGTGGGTGGAGGTACCAGTCGCATGGAGACCGAGAGCCTAGTGGACAGAGTGCTCCGTACACTGCGGATACACAGGAGGACTGGGGGGAAATTGTGGGTTTCTAGACGGCAACTGGGGGGAGCGATTTGAGGGACACGGGGGGCCTGTCCTCTGCTTAGAGGCTAAGGTGGGAAAGAAGGGTAAGGGGAGAGGAAGAGGAAGCCACCAAGCGAAGAACAAGTACTGTGCACCTGGTACATGTACCTCTACCTCACACGCACACGCGCGCTCTCTGTCTGTTCCTCTGCCTGTTCCTCTGTCTGTTTCTTCCTCTTCTTCTTCTCCTCTTCCTCTTTTGAGTCCATCTCCGACCGATATCCAAGATGATCCAACAGTTCGGATCCCTTAAACTCTACAGTGTCTTCTGCCACCCTTCTCCCTGCTAACTATCTGGGACATTGGAAATGCATTTGAAAAATGTATCGAGCAGCTCATTCCAACGCCTGAGTCGTTCGCTTGATTACGGAGCGCATCTTCATCAGACACTTTACGAACGTCCACTTTACGCCAGATGATCGCGAGAGATTGCGGTCCCCTCTACAGGTTAAGCGGACGGGTCCTGGACACCGTGACAACCCCGACTATGGATCGAGCACGCACGCAGTCCGGCCTACCAGATATGGCACAATTTGAGTTGGGCGTGCCAATCATCGCAATCAATGGTTCCAAAGTTCGGCCTGTCTGAGGCGCCTGGGCGGACCTGTCGTCGTCCTCGCCATGCATGCAAATGCGCCTCCATTCCACAACTCTCACAACACTACGAATCGTCGTCTGCTGTACTCCGTATCCGTACATACTACAGTTGCACAGTCCCAAGCTGCGTCGTCCTGCAAAGGCTGCAACTGAACAGACCAGAACGAGAACAAGGTGCTACACCTTCCCCCTCCGGAAACGCCAAGTACCCAGGAAACGCCAATCCGGGGCAGCTCTGTGCCTCGTGCCTGCGTCTGGCTGCTGTGCGCTGTTTGGTTCATCCGTCGCCCGCCGTCCCACACGATGCAAGTCGAATCAGAATGCGAGTCGAGTGTGCCTGTTTGCTGCGCATGGTTACCCGACCTCGCGTCACTGGAGTCTTGGAAGTTGGAGGACAGGCCAAGTCGACGTCAAGACGGACAACCTTGAAAGTCGGACAGACAAAGGTGCCGCTGCCCCACGGAGCGCATTGCATCGCACCGCAACGATGCCTCGTCCACCGTCCAGTGTTTCCCACCGCCTCTCGCCCGAATCCTCGAATCCTGAGTCTGTCTGTCTGTCTGTCTGTCAGACTGTCTCTGTCCAAGACGCACATGGACCGAGGTAGGAAGACTTGCCAGCGCACCACCTCAAGCTGCCAATACCGTCATGGCCGAAGAGCCGTCTTGTCGCGCCTTCAACGTCTGCAACTGGCCCGTATTGTCATTCCTCTTGATAAACCGTCCTCTATGAATACTGCAAACAACCAGGAGACGTCCGTTCATATCGGGGCGGCGCAGAGAACGGGCGGAAGATCTCAATCGGCCAAGACTTTCACTTGTTTTACGCACTACGCTACTTGGAATGGGAGAGCCATAAGTACCCGATACTTACATCAGATCTCTGGCTCTGTCTCTATGCCACTATGGACCCTGTCACCCTCCCCTCCCTCTCCACGACAACCCGACCCCTCAAGGGATGGGAGTGCTAGGCTCGGGGAACAAGATTGACCAGTGTTCGAACTTGAATACCATGCATCTGCACATGCACCACACACCACGACTATGGACCGATTTACCGCAACTCTCCTCCTCCAACAACCCAATTGCCCAATGCCGCTCGAGTCTTGCCTGCCCGACCCTACGCCGAACGGCCTACAGGCTACGGGGACCCGGAAGCGGGACGGAGCTCCATGAATCTGCAACTCGGCCAATCCTGCGCCGCGTCGCGCCTTTGGTCACAATGGTTTGACTACTAGAGAGGCATTTCCTCTCCATGGCGCCCATCGCGCGTACAATCAGTTCATAACCCGTATGTCATCATCTACCACCGACTTCAACTTAGTCATGAAGACAATTGACCCGGAAGCGTCGAAGTGTCCGGCCTTAATTTCACTTTTCTGCTCAGCTCAGCAACCCGGAACCCGAACCACCAACCGGAATGCCACAACACGACAACCCGTAAAACGAAATTGTTCAATCTTGTTCTCCCATTTCCACCAGAAAAGTCCGACAAGACGGCCTCCGTCCGCCGGACGACGCCGCGGACGCCGCATCCCCCAAACTGGCAACTTGCAACTGGCACCTCGTCCAGCCAGCACCGTTGATGTCTCAAGCCCCCCCTCCCATGACCAATCCGCAATGACCACTGGTTGTTCTCAACTTCACCATGGCGTACGGCCATGGGCGGCGGTCTAAACCCTCTCTGCTAAGCCTCCGATGGAAGTAGGGAGTCGGCGTCCCTAGCGCACGTTTGCCTGCGCACGCTGCCTTCTGTATCTCTCTGTCAAGTCTTGTCTCACTCGCTGCACCATTGTGAGGCAGGCAACACCACAAAACGCCTCAGCGTTTCGCGCGCTAGGTGAGGTTTTACCTCGACGGCTCTCACCTACTTTGCTTGTGCGTGCCGTCGCCGCTGCTGCCGCTGCCGCCGCCGGCACCGCCTGCACCGCCTGCACCACTCCCTGGCCCATGGGCAATACCAATGGTCCGATAGATTCCTCAACTCTCAACGCCATTTGCAACTCAAGCTTTGGCCGGCCCCCTTTGAGTTCTTGGGCATTATTGGTGACCCGGTTGATCTGATTGACAGGTCTGATGGACTGCCAATGGTTGATTACTTGATGCCTGCCACGTTCTCCAGACTAACCTAACATACACGTCAGTGACCACTATTGCATCCCGTCGAGGGTCCCTTGCTGGAGGGATATTATCGAACAACTGCGCCTATCGATAATCATGCTCCCCCTCCCCCGTACCACCTCACTCGACTCAGCCCCTCCAGCTCCCACCACTACGGATACTCTCCTCGCGTAACTGATTTCTCTGTATGTAGCGAGTTACACGACAGCTGGACCCTTGATTTGCTTAAATGCGTACGCAAACGCGCAACGAACGAACGCTCGCACGTCTCGGGAGCCTTTTGATCGACCGCCCGCACGCCACACTGCTACGGTATGATACACCCGAGTCCTTTTATAGGACATAGAAGTCCCCGCTGTTTCGATTGTCTGCAGGATGCACAAGCGTGGCCGCAGGGAGTAGATCCCGCCAAAGACGTACGGATAGGTATTCCCGCGGATGAACTGCCACTGTCAATGCTACGAAACCACAAGGTAAATGTTACCCATGCTGCCCTCCTCAATGGGCAAGGGAACATGGATCCATTCCCATGCCACTTCATCGACGTTGAGAACTAGCAAGGCTAGGGACGACAACCATTGCTTGCCAAAAGTCAAATCAACCTTCCGATGCGCCCCCCCCCCCCCCCAAGGCCTGGCAACTGGGACAGGAAGACACCTACCACGGCAGGAATCATAAACATGAGCAACCTCGTCATCGGTTTTTTTCGGGAAAAAAGACTTTCGAATTAACTTCCTTGAATTATCGGATCTTGTCCAAGAGGGTGTGAGGGAGTTCAATTCAATCCTGAGTAACTTTGACTGTACCAAACGACATTTTTGAGTCGCATACTCAACACACCAAGCTAAGGTAGGAGGAACACATGGCATTCTATCCGTACCAACGCACGCCGGAGAAAGAGAACTTCTCTGAGAGACGTCGAAGACACGCCAGCTGAGTCCGCCTTGGCTTAGCTCACATGAGCCTATGATCCAAATCACAATAGGATGGGAAAACGCAGACAGTCAACAATACAACCCATCGTAAGAAACACAAATCACGCCTCACAAGTCGTAAGCATCAACTGGCCGTTCAACCATCATATAATCCTCCACCTTGTACTCTTCTCGCACGCATGATGCAATTCTCCAGACTCGATCTCTATCCGTAGCAGACTCGGTCACAAGACTGCAAGGGACACAAGCAGCTTCGTCCATTCTCCCCATCGCCCCATCGCTTTCATTGCCCCGTCTCTCTTCTTCTTGCTAGGATCCAGCAAACGTCGCTTCCAATCCTCCAGACTTCTTGCCTTGGATAAACATGTGAATACTGCATGTCTCACCTCCCGCGTCTGGTCTCGTCCTGCAAAGCAAGCTTTCCCCCCACGGCGTGTAGGCGTACAGTACCTATACTGCACCAACCGACATTAGTAGCCCAAGTTCTAAAGCTAGTCTATCCGTCAAACCCGTGATGCCGCGATTTCCCTTCCCACCGCCTCGGAAAAACACACACACACACACATCCCACTTGACCTCGCCATCTACCTAGTCACATTTGGTCAGGAAGCCTTACCTTGGGCTGGGGCTACGTCTCCTTCGTATAATCCCATCTTGCCAAAGCAGCCTACAAATTCTACCCACGCAATGCATGTCTAGGAACTGGATCGCGGGGCTAACGATCCATCGTACACCCTCCTCCTCTTCCACCACCACATCGTGTAGCGGTCAAGGCCAAAGCAAAGTAAACCCCACAAGCCAGTATCCGGTACCTTAAGCTCCCCTCCAATCTACAAATCACCAAATAAGCCAGATCACTTTCCAACGTCTCTCCGCCAACGACCCGCGAGGATGCGCTGTACCTAGCTTGTGGGGGAGGGGGGTAGCCAACTGGACAGAACGAAAGTCGACTTTCTTCTCACATGCCCAACATGCCGTGACAGCTTGACCCCTCCCCCCCCCGGCTACGATTACCTCCTAGCCTCGATCGAACGACGACCCAACTACAATGCATAAGGCTCCTCTTAGCGGGCAAGAGATCGTGACGATATATCAAGGTGGGGGCGCCCAGCATGTGCATTGTAAAAAAACGTGGAGAAATGGCATGATACACATCACACTGTCATCACTTGATCTGGCACCATCCCGGTAACATGACAACAAATCATTCACAAAACAAACAAGTCGCGACTGCCCAGGAAACGACAGAAAATACTTGTGGTGGGGGTTTACTGGTGGGAAAGAAGACTCATTGAAAGTTATCTGGCGGGAACCTGTGCTAAGCACACAACGACTGAAGGGGCATGGCCATTTCCCATGTGATCCAACCAATCTGCCCTAAAGGAAAGGTTTCATTTTTGTGTTTCTTCCCGCCCGAGACCATTCTCTTTTTTTCAACTTCCTCGTATACATCGTGAACCTGCGTCACTCTCTCCTTCGTTTCCCCCCATCCCCATCAATAGCTGGCTGGTCTCGAGGCCAAAAGGAAGAAAAGAAAGCATGTGCAAATCACTCAGCCCGCTGGCCAATGTAATCCCCCAACTCCAGATCTCATGCTGTGGCCGAGATCGTTGTTTTTTTTGCGTGTATGCGATAGCAAGCCATGTCGCCTTACTCGATGACGCCGCCGTCTCGCGGAAGCGTGATCGAACCAATGCTGGCGTCTTCTTCATGACGTCAAAAGGATTGCATGTGTGAGAGAGTTTTTTTAGGTGTGCCGCACTCCAGGAAGAAGTATTGTACAGTTAGAATAACAAGTGACATCCAGACGGCGCGAGGACGATGGGGTGAGGTTGAGAAGAGCGCGTCTGGGGGCGGAATATCCTGGAGAATGACATTCGTAGGTATAGTGATCGCTTAGACATCCCACTCCTCCTCCTCGGTGCTGAGGGCGGAGAAAGATCCAAAGTTGGACGTGACGGGCTTCGCAGCCTTGCCGTTAGAGGCAGGCTTCTGGACAGCCTGAGCGATGGGGCGAGCCGGAGCAGCGGCGGCGGCGGCGGCGGCAGGCTTAACAGCCTCGGGGGAAGGAGAGCGGTTCTCCTTCTTGGCCTTCTTGGACTTGGCGGGAACAGTGTTCCACTCGTCCTCCTCCTTGAGGCGCTCCATCTGCTCCTCCTCAGAGGGGAGCGAAGAGATCCAGTTGTTGTTGGAGGCCTGAGCAGGAGCTGCAGAGGTGCCATTCTGGGCCGGAGCCTCAAAGGTGTCGAGAGGCTGAACAGCAGCAGAGGTACCGTTGGTGGAGGCACCGTTGGGAGAGCCGGCGGTCCAAGCGGACTTGTTGCCGTTGACGCTGGCCATGAACTGGGAGCCATCCTTGGCAGGGATGCCGGCAGCCTCGCGGGCGGTACGGCGCTGCTTCTCGAGCTTGACCTTGCGCTCCTTCTCCTCCTCCTCGCGGGCAGCTCTCTTGGCCTCAACCTTCTGGCGGTTCTGGCGCTGCTTCTTGGTCTCAGCCTGCTCGGGGGCCTTCTGGTTCTTGGCCTTGGGCTTCTCCTTGTCGGTGCCGGTCAGGCGGAGAACGGAGGGACCGGATGCGGTAGGCTCGAGCATGTCGCTGACGCCGCTGGGGTCGGCAGGGGTGACCTCGGGGGAGGCGGCAGGGGAGCTCTCTTCGGCCTCCTCAACAGCCTCGACAACGGGGGCAGAAGAAGCGGTGGGCTCCTCCTCCTCGGTGACCTCAACAGGCTTCTTCTCGGCAGCGCGCGATTGCTTGACGGACTTGGTCTTCTTCTTCTTGGCATCAGCAGAAGACTTGCCATCAAACTTCTTGCCCTCCTTGACACTAGCCATCCTCTTGACGAAATCGGCATTATCAACGTCCTCCTTAGGGTCATTGCTCAGCCATGTGCTAGGAGGATTGACTGCGCTTGTGGAAGCCTTCTCTTCAGGCTTTTGTGAAGCAAACGCGGCCTTTCGCTGCTTCTTTGCGTTGGCGTCCTTCTTGGGCTCAACATACGCCTTGACACTCTTGGCAACCTGCGCAGGCTTCTTCTTGCTGGAGTAGTTGTAGATCAAGCCACCGGCGACAAGGAAGCAGACAAGGTAGCCGCCCACGGTTTGGGTGTTGAGGAAGTCGGAGACTGTCATTGTTGCGATTGTGGATGGCGCAGAACGCTACCAGATGGGTATTAAGGGGTATGGTAGATTATGCAACGTGGTGCAGTTGAAAAAACAGCAAAGACAACGGCTTGTCGGATCAAGGACCGCAAGCTCAGAGTACCGTTGAGGGTCACGGAGTGTATTCGATGCCTCACTGATGGAGAAGTTGTGGAGAGAGATTCGGATGCCTGGTTAATGGGCAGGTTAGCAATGGAGTCCGATTTGTGCTGAGCTCTGCACGGGAGCAGATGATCCGAGATGTCTGGGGGCAAGCGCCGATCAGGGGACATACAGGTGGAAGGTGCGCAAGGGAGATGTGGGCGCAACAATGGATGGACTGCTGGAGGATGAAAGGTAAGAGCGGTGATGCTCGGGGGGTGGGTGTGGGTTTGTTGAAGGGGAGAAACAACAAGAATTGGTAAAAGGGAAGAAGGAAGAAGGGCGATTGAGGAGGCGTTTCGACCACGCGGTTGAAAGACGGCTTGGATGTCGTGTTCAGATGCAGGTAGCTTGGCAAGGAGAGACAGGCCGAAGAAAAAAAGTTACCAGGTGGCTTCTCAGCAATGGAATTGTGCCTGCCGTGCCGCCAGTGGTCCAGAGCCAGTAGCAAATGGGGGTTTTTGGCTGAGGCAAGCGCCCGGGGTTCATGCCACGGATGCAAAAGCCGACCGCTGGAGAGGTCCCACGGGTATCTGCTGCTACCGCTGCGGCTGCTCGGTGCTGCTAGGTTGCTAGGTGCCCCCCCCCCCCCCCCCCCCCCCCAAATGGAAGGTATCCAATCTGTAAGGTGCTGCATCAAACCCTGACCTGCGTCGGGACCGAGTCTCCAGGAGTGGGAATTGCGGACGGAGTACGGAGTACGGAGTACGGAGTATGAGGGTTGGTGTCCTCTTTTGCCGCAGGTCCCCAGGGATGTGTTTCTGGCTGGCCGAGCTCAGATGAAGCAGCAAAGACAAAAGGCGAGACGAGGGAGTGTGTGATGTGAGATGCGATAAGAAGAAAGCACAATTGAAAGGGAAAATTGCACTTACTTGCTGCGTGACGTTTATTGTCAGCGATCTGGTGTTTCTCCTCGAGTTGAGCAAGGTATGTAGGTGAGGTAAGGGTAGGTAATGGATGGAGGTAGATGAGGTTATCTCCAGGGTGCTGTTAGGTAATTTCCTGGATCTCCAAAGTGACAGCTTCGCGTTTCCACGGGGTTGAGGAATGTGGACCCACCTTTCTGGACCTTACCTTAGCACGGACTCGGGCGAACGTGAAAATTGGAGACTGGTCACGTGTGGAGAGGCAACAACTTTGTGGGAAGGAAGGGAGCAATCACCAACCCGGAAGGTGTCACTTACACGTGACTGCGATGACCTCGCTCCACAAGAACGCTCCGTGATTGGGCGAACTGACATTGAGGTCACTGTGCTCGCTGTCAGGGCATCAAGCCAATTGACTGCCAACCAAGGTACCTTGCTAAACATTGTCATTGGAAACTTGTCGGACTCGGAGGTTACCTGGGTATCCCGCGGGTCTATCAACTACCTACCGAAAAGAGTTCAGAATAAAAACAGTTTTTTGCAGACAGCTTCCTCAAGGTAGCTTCACGTGAGTAAAGTACCCTCATCCAAGCAGACTTCCCGAGGCCCTCCATTCCCACGTCTCATCCAATCTTTGCAAGGTCCAGAGTTGCAACTTGCCGCATGTCAGATTCCTTCCCCCTTGGCTTTCCCGATAAGTGTCCGTCTAGGTGCCCAATGCCCCCAAGTCCCTATTTTCCAAGGTTTCCCGCAGCGCCCATGGACTTCTTATCGACAACAACTGGATCTCGGTAGCTCGAAACGGCTTAGCGCGTCCTTTCTCTCCATGATTCACGCCGCCGCGCTGGCGCACTGCGCGCAAACCACAACCCCACCATGGTCCATCCCCCCCGACGTTTCTACAATGAGGGGTTCGGCCTGCCTGCCTACCTGTGCCAGTTTCTTAATGCGACACCGACGCCCTGCTCTTGACACAAAATAGGCCCGGCGAGAAAGGACACGGGAGTCACACACGCATATTCCTCCGAGACCCGGGATCTTTTATCCATCTACACCGGAGACAGGCGGAGACCGGACACCTCCGTTCGAGCTTAGCTCACGTGCCCGCCGAAGTCCGCTCCCCCACTTCAATCAACATTTGGTTTCCTATATCACTAGTGCTTTCCCAGTTGAGTGATTGAATCAACTGTGTATTTTGAGACGAAATCATTCTTCGTCTTCATCAAACACTTTTCACACCAATTTCAGGGACTTCTCGTAAATCAAAGACCGCAGCCATGGCTCCCAAGAACCGCGTCATCATCGATTCCGACCCAGGTGAGATATGAGTGAACAACCCCGGATAAAGCGCCGTGATGTGCAAGTAGCTCATATACATCTCTCTGCCAGGTATCGACGATGTCATGGCCATGCTCCTGGCCCTCTCGGCCTCACCTGAGGAGCTCGAGGTCATGATGATCTCAGTCACCTACGGAAACGTGCCTCTTCAGAGGTGAGTTCAAACGCCGTGCAAGGGGGTTTTGCATTTCTAGAGTCTAACCCTTTTGATGACGAAAGCTGCCTGAAGAACGTTGTTGCGCTCTTCCACGTCCTGGAAAAGGAGATTGCGTGGCGCAAGGAGAATGGAAAGCCCGAGGGTTTCGAGTCCCTCAAGGCTTACAAGCCCATCGTGGCAGTCGGTGCCGAGCACGCTCTGGAAGATGACGAGCTGGCCGCTGACTACTTCCGTAAGGCAATCCTTCGTCTGAACCCCCCTCCGTGATACACACTCGCCTGACCCCTCAACAGACGGACTCGACGGCCTTCACGGCGTCCACGAGAAGCACCCTCACCTATCCCCAGACGACCGCTGGCAGTCCCTCTTCCACACCGAGAAGGACGTCGACCACGATCCCTCCCCCTTTAACCAGTACTTCAGCCCGGCCAAGCAGGTCGCCCACAAGGAGATACTGCGCATCCTAAAGGAGAACGAGCCCAATACAATCTCCATCTGCGTCGTCGGCCCCATGACCAACGTGGCCCTCGCCGCCGCCGAGGACTCAGAAACCTTCCTTCGCGTCAAGGAACTCTGCGTCATGGGCGGCGCCGTCCATGTCGAGGGCAACATCACCCCGCACGGCGAATTCAACACCGTCGCCGACGCCGTCGCCGCCGCGCGCGTCTTCGCCCTGACCTCCCCCACCCCGCGCTCCACCATGCCGCCCATCTCGGACAAGAAGTCATCCTTGCCTCCCTACCCGGCCAGGCTGTCCAAGAAGCTCAAGCTGACGCTGTTCCCCCTCGACATCACGACCCCGCACTTGCTCAGACAGAACTACTTCACCGAAACCATCAAGCCCATCGTGGCGTCTGGAAGCCCCCTCGGCCAGTGGGTCAACCACTTCATGTCCAAATGCTTCGACCAGATCGTGGAGATGGAGGGCGACGGACAGGAGCCCGGCCTCTCCCTGCACGACCCCCTGACCGTCTGGTACCTTCTGACGCAGTCCGACCCCAAGTGGAAGGCCACCGCGGAGCCGGAGGATATCCGCATCGAGACCACGGGCCAGTGGACGCGCGGTATGCACGTCATCGACCGCAGACTCCGCGTCAAGTACAACGAGGCTGCTCTCGAGGCCAGCGAGACCGGCGACAGCGTCGATGTCCTGACCCTGGCCGAGGTTCCCGGCGACACTGGCGGCTGGCTCAGCACCAGCAGGGGCAACAGAGTCAACAGGATGGTCGAGTCCCCCGGTGAGGAATTGTTTGCCCCTGACCTGATGAAGAGAGTTTTCGGATAAAGATGGAAGACAAAAGACGTATATTTCAGCCCCCCCCTCTATGTGTGAGTGTGGGCTCTTCTTTTGTTGTTGTCTCGTGTCAGCACAGACATCATTTGAGATTGTAGCATGATGGAGGAAAGATCTGGATAGAAGAAAGGCAGGCGCATACCCCGTAGGAAACCCAATGTCATTCTATAGCAACTCCAAATATGTGCAAACGCCGTTGTTTTGTGTGTAGGTGTAGGTGTAGGTGTAGGTGTAGGTGTGTGCATGCGCATGTGCATGTGTGCATGAATGCGCGCACGCCTGACTGCCTGCCTGTCTCAATGGCAGCAGCGCAATCCCATGTCCTTCCCAACACTCGGGTATCCCGCTCGTAATCAAACATCCCGTGACGCAGTATGTCACTCTCATCCTCGAAAACCACCTTTGCGTTTTTCCTCTCTCTCTCTCTTGTGTTTACGTGGGCTTTCATACGTGCTTGGTTCCTCCAATAGCAGAACCTTTGACTTCGGTCCAGTTGATGCTGTCGTCTAGCGCTTCGTCTACTAGGCCGATCGTGCAGACGTTGTCGCCTCGGACAAGGTAGAGGCCGAGAGGCACTTCGACGGAGGGCTCGCCGCTCTCGGGGGTCTGGATGACTCGCTCTTGGGCACTGCTGAGGACCTGGGGCGCGAAATGTATGTTAGCTAGGTGTAGTTTAGAAGATCCTGGAGGGTTGCGAAGGGGCAAGGGGAGGGGCATTACGAGGTTCGTGGACTGGTCCGCCGCTTCCAATGTGCCCACCAGAATTCTTGAGTCTGAGGTCACAATGAGGACTTTCTCTGTTTGGGGGAGGATCGTCAGTATGTCATCGAGGAAGCAACACTCGAGGTTGGTAGCTTGGGGGGACGTACTGTTGAGGTAGCCTCCGAGGGTTGCCATGATTGCGGGGGTCTTGAGGTCTGAAAGAAGCAAAAAGGTTTCGTGTGAAGCTTGAGTAGGGATTCTTGTCGAGAATTGGGTTGTCTGTTGCTTGGATTAATTTGATCAGAGGGTGCTCGGATCTGTCGTCGGTGGTATTATCGCAATGTTGAATCGAGAAAGTCGACTGGTGAAATTCGGGAATCTTGAGTGGAGGGACCTTGGAGCTCCTAAGCTAAGCCGCTTCGGGCCAAGGTAAGCACGACAAGGTCTGGTCCGTGCACCCCCGGTCGTTCGTCCTTTCAAGCCGTTAAATGTCACTAACATGGGAACTATTGCAACCCATTACTTCAAATCAACCGAACATGAGTAATCAAGTCAGGACCCTGCCATTTTCAACAAGCCGATGAACGGTATCCTTCTGCTATTCAATCATGGTCCAGAAACATACCGTTGGCGCCAGTGACGAGCAATCGCCCACACTCAGCCCTTACAAGCGACGACCATTCGCCATGGTACCGAGATTGCTGGCCTCAAAGGGGGATGGATGCCAAGCTCCCAGGCTGAAATATCAAGCTCACTAGACTGCTGTGCCGCATGAGTCTATTCAGCCTGCCATACTCACTGGGCGAAGAACCCCGGCAGCGACATCACCTGCTTAATCGGGTGGCAACACGCTATATTTCCCGCATTTCGCTTTAAAGAGTTCGCGATGGCCTCTCACCGCTATGGATGGATTACATCTGAGCATGTCTCGAGACGAGAGACGTATTTCACTGTTCGCCGAGGCAACAACTCCATACCCTTTCTCCCCAGGTCAGGATGTATAGCGGCATCACCACGTCTCCTCGATATGAACGCTTCTGTCCAAGGTGACAGGCCTAGCCAGGACAAGAGGTACACGCTCAACCATACTCAAGAGAGAGCGGTACGGCGCTTACTGTTTCTGTGCGCGTTGGTGTTTGATGCCCTCACAATAATCCTCGTCGTCTTTCTATGCGTCGGCGCATGGACAAAGTCGGGTTATGTGAGAGAGTTAAAAGGTATCAACAACAGAGAGGCCCACCTTGCTACCGTAAGTCGGATTCGGGATCGAGGGCACAATTCTCTCCCTCTCCATCTGCCTATACTGACAATGGATGGTAGTGGTCAACGGCATACAGCCGGCGCCCGTCAGACGAAGAGACCACCGTCGTCATCAGTTGGCACCTCAGCAGCTGCTGCTACTCACAGTCCGACGAAGACATACACTCAGGGCAGGATGGATGTATCCGCCGGGCCCCCGGCACCCCCTTCGACCTTGAGAGCATCATGGAGGACGTCGCTTATGCAATAGGGGGATACTCGATGTATTCCTCAAGGGGGGGCAAATTCTCGGCTCTAGAATCGCAAGACATTGACCTCTCGAAGGCCCCCATAATCACCTCGTCCAGAACCGCGCTCATTACCTACATCGTCTTCACGTCGGTCACCGCGTGCCTCTGGTTTTGGCACTTCTTCGTCGGCATGATTCCGGACGCACCTGACTGTGGTCGTTTCCTGACAGTGTCGCTTACTCTGACGGGGGCGGCCTTGATCGCCGCTTCTGCTATCACGACCAGAACGGCCATTGAGGTGGACGACATCCTCAGGGAGGGAATACGAGAGTGTCTTCGAATACCACAGCGCCGGCATTTCAATGCTGGTCGTCACCTGGATCGCCTCGGCAAGCCATCTGCTCGCGGTTGCGGCATACATCGCTGCCGTGGTCATTGGCAAACGACTGCAGAAGCCGGACCAATACCCGCCAGAGTCAGAGCCGTCGGACATGGGATCGATGATTGACGAACACCGAGTGAGGGAGGTAGAAATGCCAACGGAAGCCGAAAGAGATGAACATTATAGGAGGCGTCTTGAGGAATTTGTTCGCGTGCGCGGCCAGAGGCGACGAGCAGAAGCAGCTCCCTCTCATTTGGATCGCATTCACGAAGAGAGTCAGGCGAATCATGCCGATGACGATAGCGGGTTGCCTTCGTACTCGAGGGTCGATCCGTACGCGAAGCATGCGCCGGTGAAGCCAAATGCTGCGACGGGTCCGCCTATAGAAATGCACTGATCTGAGGACGGCTGCGAGTGGCCAGTCTCGCGAGGACAGCGTGGATGTGCCAGCGCCGGGCTATGAGCAGCATCAAACCGCGTCACCTCGCGGTTCCTGAGATCGATGGTATCCAAGGATCAGGGTAGATGATGATGTCAAACGTTGTGTATGAAAAGAGGATGCCCACATTATACCCAATTCAGGTTCCAATCTTGAAATAAGACTATGCACATTGTGCTCACTTGCAATTTCTATTTGCAACATAATCAAAAGTCGCTCGGCAGCGGCGCCGTCGACCGCAACGGACCGCTGGACCGGCACCAGCTGCGCTAAGTTCCACAAGGGTCGCGCGCCAAAATCCAACCCTAGCGCGACCACTCCTGAGCTTCAGCACATCTTAAATCTGACCTCATCCACACGCGCACGCGAACCCGCAACCTCAACCACCGCCGCCCAAACTTCCACCAGCCAGACACACCTGTCGCTGCCCACAATGTCGTCTCACAACACACCAAATATCTACGCAGAACTCCTCACAAACATCCGCCAGCTCTCCATCGCAGTGACCCTCCCATCACCAGCAGGAGGACGAACAAGAGCGCTCATCGCCGCAGACGGCTCAACGCTGCACATCCACCACGCAGGCACAGAAACATACTTCCCGCTACCCGGAAGAGTCCTCGCCCAGGGAGGCGCTCCAACAGCCTTGCCCACACCGCCGCCGTCAGCATCATCGCCACCAGCCTCGCACACGCTTTCATGGCGCCTCCCGCTAGCAGACTCCCCAGCAGCACCGCGCACCGGCACCAGCCTCGCAGATGACCCCGTCCCCTGGACGGCGCGGGACCTCCTCCCCGGCTCGGCCGTCGCGTGCAGACGCTGCGCCGCGGTCGTCGTGCCCGGCGGTAAGGCGGGGGAGTGGAAGGACCTGCCGAGCGAGAACTGGGCTGAGATGATGGACTTTTGGCACTGTCATAAGCCTAGCACGGATCACGAGCATGAGCACGGCGGCGGCGATGGGCAGGGGCAGGGAAAAGAGGACCACGAGCATCTGACTAGGCGCGGGTACGGAGCCAACTCGTCCATTGCCGCGCAGCCTGGCGTCGGCATGGTGGATTTGACGTCGTTTCTGTTTTGCGAGGCTGATTGTGTTGGTCTCAAGGTAAGCGGCTGTCTCCTTCTCTCTCCATCTCTTTTGTCACTCGTATCATCAACACCACGTTGAGGATCCCTCTATCACATACGGTGAAAAAATGCCGTGTATTCTCAAAAACGGGGGCATCAAGAAGGAGGCCATGTCGGCAGCAACACGCTACCAACTCAGTGATCTGGTCACCGATACTCCGCCCCTAGATGAACTATCCAAACAAACACGCCGTTGTGCCCTGCCCTCGCGCAGGGGGTTGCTTTCCAAAGTGCAAGACTCCGAAACCTCCTACGCCCCTCGTGTGTAAGATGGTTTCTGGGTCTTGAGCTTGGGTTTGCAAAAGACGGTTGGCCCTCTTGCTTTCACTGGGGTTCTTTCCAGAGCCTCGGAAACCCCGGGATAAACAGCGAGGGACATATAATCCATATTCTTCTCCCTTTACCTGTAGACCTTCACGATACGTTTCCTGTACTCTTCTCTCTTCTCTCCTTCTCTTACTTACTCTTCTTCTCTCCACCCAGTTCTCTCTCCCATCATCCGATGCCGCAACCCCAGCACCCTCCAGCTCAGAAGTCCTAGCTGGAGGAGAAGGCATCTCTGGTCCTGGCTCTGATCCCACACCACCTCCCCGGATGCTCAACATCGCCTGCTCCGCCTGCGCCTCCCACCTCGGCTTCTTCAACGTAGCCATCTCCTCCGTCGTCCTGCTGAAATGGCAAGTGTCATGCCAGACAACCACATCACACCCCGCCACGGCGGCGGCAGCGGCAGCGGCAGCGGCAGCACTGCCCACCAGCTCAGACTGTCTAGCCGCAACCCTCATCGCAACCCTCTCCCGCTCAGGCTCCTCCAAAACAGTCGTCGTCCCCGCCTTCCAATCCACCCAAAATCTAGCTTCCTCCGGCGATGGTGGGGTCGTACCCGCCCTACACCTCTGGATCCTCAACAGCAACATCACCTACGCCTCCTCCTCTTCTTCTTCTTCTCACCAACGCACAAAACGCGCAGCCATCAAACTGCTATACAAAGAAATCTCCCAAGACGAGGCGGACACCATGCTCGAGTCCATGACGTGCGACGTGCAAGAGGTCAACCTCCCCTTACCGGCCATCGTCGCCGCGGCAGAGGGATTGAAGCGTAGCAGTGAGGTTTTGCCTCCCGGTGAGCGAATGTTCAAGGGGTGGAATGTAGGGATGTTGGATAAATGGGAGCCAGGCTTCGCAGGAACGGCGAGCCCGTGATGATTCGGCGCTGGGGGGGGAGGAGCTGGGAGAGTTTACAGAGTATTGACCATCGGACCTTGGAAGTGAGGGTAAATCGACATGTGCGATTCTCACAGTCTATACCCGCTTCATTGGCGGGGGGAAAAAGGGGACCGCGGACTTAAAAGGAGTAGCTAGCGAAAGGGGAAGAAAACTGCAAAAGACAGATGACATATCCGAGTACACCTCATCGTCCTGAGAGCTTGGCCACGAGCGCGCGAATCGAGATTATTATTAGGTTTCCACACGACAGTTCACTGGTGACTTGCTTGGCTCTGCCAATGCTCCTCCACCATCATGTTAATGAATCCTGCAACCAAAGGCTAGTTCTCCAGAGTGCCTCAATCATGTAGCGGTCGAGTATTCGCAATGGAACCCCGGTTCCTTACACTATGCCACGTAAGATTTGAGATGCCTCAGCAACAAAATATGCACTACAGGTGTATTCGCATCTTCATCTCACGTCACAAAGCAACCAATGGAGTCATCAAATGTTTCGTAACTTGGCAAGCCATCAATTGGTGCAACAGCCTACAAGTTGCTTGGAATAATACAATAAATCCTCCGCACCGCCATTTTTCCTTCGTCTTTTTTCATCAAAAAAGAGATCAAAAAAAGTATTCAACAACATTCCCCCTCCTCCCATTGCTCCTTTTCTTTCTCCTCCTTCCCATTTCCATTCATCAGCCATCAATCCCCACTGTAGGGAGAACATGTAAATGGCGGACAGCTGGAGAAAACAACAGGGGAAGAAAAAACAACCACCGCCAAAAATTCACCAAGTTTGGCAACCCATCAACATCCTGGAAATGCCTCCCCTAACCCCCTTTGGATATGATAAACAAAAATTCGGTAATTACATATTCAACCCAGACAGCGTGGCATGCGCGTTGTGTTGTTGGTGTTTTGAGTTCTCTGCGATATTGGTATCACGGAAATGACTGACTGCGAAGGGAACGACCTGTCCCGGGTCTCGCTCTAATAAAAAAAAAAAAAAAAAAGAGGCATGTACAGAAGAGATGATGCTGAGAATGGAAATGGATAAGGAAAAGGAGAGAGAGAACGGAAGACAGCGTGAGATAAGGGAAAACCATGTTCACGAGCGGATGAAGATAATTACGCCGCCCGGGAGACATGCCATGTCTGCGGTCGTAGGAGTTTGGAGTAATGAAAATAGTGTGCGCGTCGGATAGTGAGATGGGTCGAGAGTGATTTTGCGCAGGATAGTATGTGTATGTGTATGAGTATGCGTGTGTATGAGAGTGTCGAGAGAGACGCGGTGATAGGTGTAAGGGATGTAACGAGTGGACTTTTGAGTGCTCTAAGCCGTCTATGCTGGAATGCAGAGGCCCCCCCGCCGAAAACGATGCTCCGGAAAAGACCTGGGTATAAAAAAGGACGGATCATGATTTTAGGTGTCGTGAAGCGCCATGGACGTGAGCGGAGCTCGCAGGTGTCGCGCAATGGCCATTAGTGTCTCATCACCGCCATGGCTTCAAGGCATTTGTCGATTGAACCTAGCGACGGTTTTGGTTTTGCTTGTTGATCTCGCCAAGGTTCAACCAGCTCATGTCTGAAGACGTTGCTGCCAGGGCGAGGGGAGGCTGTTGACTAACACCGTTGGGAGCACTGGTCTGGGTTTGCCGTTGCGGGAGGCTTGGAGCCAGCGACGTAGGGTAGAGGCTCTCGGCATAAACACTGCTTGGAGCGCGGTCCGCACCCCAGGGCCTTGAGGGGCCGGTAGGATCCCATGTGTCCCGAATGCTCTCGGGAATACCGCTCGAGTATCCGGAAGATGCGTTCGACGTGGTTCTTTGATGAGATTCGATCTTGCCAGAGACTCCATCGCGGAAGGGAATCTGGTTCGAGTAATTTGACACCGTCGGGCTGCCAGAGACGACACGGCTCAGTTCTGGCCGGCCATCGTGCTGAATAGGCGGAACAGTGGACAAGTCCTGGGTGATGAGGTGCAGAGGAGGGACGGTGGCGGAGTCTTGCGTGATGCGGTTCTTGGGAGTGTTTGAGTAGTGAGAGGTCTCGGAGTCGACGGTTGTCCGCTTCGAGTTGCCAAATCCGAGAATGTTGAGCGCGCTGCCGCCTGACCAGTAACGGTTCCAGCCAGAGCTTCTGCGCGTCTCACCAGCGCGACCGACGGGAGCTCCTCGGGGGGTAGGGCGAGGCTCGACCACGTCGGCGGCGAACGAGACACCCTTCTCATCACGGGAAGGGGGTGCGAGGGCCGGTGCCTCGTTCATTTGGGGAAGGGGCTTGCTGATGGTGCTCTTGAAGAAGCTGTTGGAGGTATCGGGCTTGCTTCCGCTGCGAGCAACATCGGCAGACTTGGGTGCGTTGCCGCCGTTGACCTTACCCATCAGGATCGCCATGGAGGAGAATGATCCAGCTGAGTCCTGTTGCTGATGACCACGGAAGTGAGGAGAGTTGAATTCGTCGTTGCCGTATCCAAGACCAGCCTTCTCATCGGGGAATCCCCTGGGGCTCGTGCCTCTCGGGTCCTGGCCGCCCTCCACGTTTTGCTGGTTCTTGCCACGACGCTTACGGATGCAGAAGAGGATCAGGCCAAGGAGAATCATGATACCGGTGATGGTGCCAAGAACGATGCCCAGGATGGCGTTGGCACTGACTGCGGCGGGAGCGCCAGCAGCAGCAGCCGTCTCGGAGCTGGCAGAGGAAGATGCAGAGGCGGAGAGCGTTGCAGAGGCGGAGGCGGATGCGGATGCGGATGCAGAGGCTGACGCCGAGGCAGGAAGAGTAGACATGGAGCTGGAGCTCGTGGCGGTCGAGCTCGCAGTGGTGCTGCTTGTCGATTCGCTTGTGGCGAGAACCTCTTGCTCGTTCAACTTCTGGGCGGCATCTTCCCAGCTGTTCTGACGCGCGTTGAAGATGCAGAGAACATCATCGACGGCACCTGATCCTCCCGAGAAAACGACGGTCCCATCGGAACCCTGAGCAAGAGCGTAGTTGGATCGCGTGCCCGTGGGCGCCAGGGTGCTGTTGTAAGCGGGCCAGTCGCTCAGGGTCAGAGATGCGCGCTTTTCAATCTCGCCCGTCACGCTGCGCGCCTTTGCCTTCGAAACCGCTTGGGAGTTGGTCACAGGTGCGCCAGCCGCATCGATAAGAACCATGCGCTTGACCACGTTCGGCGTGACGGAAAGGTCAAAGGTGTACAAACTCTTGCTTCCGTCGTCTCCGTTCATGATAATTGCGCGGATCGCAGTCGTGTCCTTGAGCAAGGGCTCCCCGAGGGTCGCACCCGAATCAATCCATTTCGTATCCGGGTTGAAGAGCATAACTTTGCTATTTGTCGTGCTGCCTCCAACGACAACGGCCTGAGTGTCAGACCATGTCAAGACGATGGGGTTTACGACGGGTGGTGCTGATGATTCGTAGGCTCGGGTGCCGTAAGGCGCGGACGCTCCGACAACAAAAGTCTGCGTTGAAGGACCAGAGTAGCCATCCTGACTACCGCCGTACATGATGATCTGGTCCGTTCCGGGGAGATATGTTGCTCCATGAAGAAGACGGTCCTGCGTGACGTGGTCTTGTGGTGCGATGGACTCCCATTTTCCTGTCGCGTAGGTGAACTTTTGAAGTCCGTGGTAATCTGTTGACGTGCCCTTGCCTCCTACAATGTACAAGCCAGCCTTGCTAGCATCCGTGGGGTTGGAGCCCACACAGACGGCACCCGTCACTGCCTCGCCTTGCGCCAAGGTCTTCCATTGGGCCCCTTCTTCGAGCGACAGCGACTGGAAAGCACCGGCGGAATATGTGTAGAGAACGTTATTGTAAATGACCGAGCAGATGTTGTCCAAAGCGACTTTGGGCTCGGGGAGCTTCATCGTGATCGTGTCCTATGATGTGTATTTAAGAATGGTGGATGTTGTCGTCGAGGTAAATTCGTTTCGGGGTTGAGTGGGTAAAATGCGTGTAGTCTACCGCATATCGTTAAAATGCCTGCAGAATCGCTGAGTGTTGATGTAGTTTCTCACAATGAAAATGATATTCCGACGCAGACGGTAAGATGGCTGCTGGCAAATGGCCTACACAGCAACGGTCCAATGATCCAAACGCAATAGCCAGCGCCCTCGGGGCTTCCAAACGGTCGAAATATCGAAGTGAGTTGGGTCGGCTGGTCCTTAGCTCGCACGACGGGAAAGCGAAGATGAAGATCGAGCGGAGGTCCTAAGGGAGGGAGAGACTGAGCCGTCGAGGTCGAGGTGGACGGGAAGTGGTTCCCTTGTCTCGGAGTTTGATCTGCAGAACAAAGTTTCTGGTGTTTCTCGACAGACGGCTAGTTCCAGACAAACAAGAAGGCCAGGACAAACGGCCGGACGGTTGGGTAGAAGGAAACAAGAAGCTGCTAGTTCTCCCGAGTCCTGAAGACCTTGGTGTCGCAGGTTTTGAGTGTGGCCAAGCGGGTGCCTCGCAGTCGTTGGTCGGATTCGTTTGTGTGTGTGTGTGTGTGTGTGTGTGTGTGAGTGTCGTGGATATGTCGTATCGCTCTCGGGCTATTACTGCAGTTCGTGTCGGTCGGGTCGGGATGTTCGGTGGAAGAGGGAGAAGATGGGCAAATTGCCGCGTCTAGGAATCGAAGAGGATATTGCAATGAGCGACTCTGCGTTATTTCTTTTCTTTCGATCTCGTGAGATTCAACGTTCCAGACGATGAGTAGCAATTCCACCTCGAAAGAGCGAAAAATGCACACACGGCACCAGAAGGAGAGAAGGAGGAGAGGAAAACGGAGACCAAGGGAGAGACCATCAGAGCCAGAGAGGAAGAGAGGCGAATGGAAAGTGGTACCCTCGCTCACCCTCGTCCGACTGTTGCGGCCCTCTCTCTCTCTCTCTCTCTCTCAGTAGTCGAGCGCAGCAGCACCCGCAGCCCGCAGCAGGAGTCGACCAGGTACAGCCCAAGTTGCAGGCGAAGGAAACACGAGACAGGGATTCGGGGAATCGTGACCGGGGGTCGCCAGGAACGTCCTGGTCCCTGGCCCGGGGTGGCTTGGACTGACGACGGACGAATCAGACGGTGTTAGAACCATCAAAATGGGGGACAGACCAGGGGGTTCCTGGACATCCACGGGCACCGGCGCCAAAGTAGAGGACGAGCCAAGAATACTTGGACAGGTGGTGAGACATTGCGGTGCCGCCCAGGTACAGGCCGACGACGCAGCTACCCTTGAGGCTGGATCCTAGTGCCCTTTTTTACGGTCCAGCACGAGATTGGGAAAAGGGGGTGCCGGGGTGATGAGCCTATCAGCAAGCCCAATTTCATCGTTCCTGGACACAGGTGGAGGGTGGCCCTGGATGAGAAGGGGGGCTTTGACGCCAGTCGGGTGGTACTCTACTACAGTACTCTCAGTCAGAAGTCTCGTCCTCTTTTCCAAGACACATCGACCGGTAGCCGTAGCCAAACGGTTGAACGGCCAGCAGTCAAACCAGTCAATCACTACGTTGACAACGGGCGGACCTCCCTCAGCCTAGTCTCGCTCTAGTCCTGAACGGTATCTAGTGCTGGGGCTTGACAATGCTCATTGCTGAGTGTGTTGATGCGAGCCTGTGTCGCGCAGGTGTAAAAGTAAGTAAAGAGCGCGTCGGTGAGTGTAAAGCAAGGAGAGAAAAGTCAGCCGTTGCAACTGCCAGTCAGTTATCCGTAGTCAATCATCTGCCTCTCTTCATTTTCTTCTTCCTCGGCCTCGTGCCGGATGTTCGAAGCTGCTCGTCACTCGTGGCTCGTGGTCCGTGGTCCGTCCGGGGTTCGACAGCCTTTGACTTTGCGTCCAAGGATTGGGTGGGAGGACGGACGGGCACTGGCAGTGACGGACAGATCACACCAGACGACGGCTGACTGACAGCGGTCCGTTCGTTGCTTCGTTGGTTGGCTTGGCTCCTTCAGATTGATATCTCTCATGTCATGTGCATGTTCTCCCGTTGCTTGTCTAGGCGAGGCATCAGACCATGCCTCGAGGAGTCGAGGGCCCCAACGATGCCAGATGAATCCAATCACG